ATGATGTCTGCTTGTTGTGACTATGATGTCTGCTTGTTGTGACTCTATGTCTGCTTGTTGTGACTCTATGATGTCTGCTTGTTGTGACTATGATGTCTGCTTGTTGTGACTCTATGATGTCTGCTTATTGTGACTCTATGATGTCTGCTTGTTGTGACTCTATGACGTCTGCTTGTTGTGACTCTATGACGTCTTGTTGTGACTCTAGTCTGTTGTATGTTCTTCTTAAAACAAAAACAGTCTCCTTTTCTGCCTCCGCCCCATGGTTCACATCAGATCTTCACCAGCTTAAACGTAAACGCAGAACGAATCCATCAAAACCGGTCTCACTGTCCACGCTGAAGCCCACAAAAACTTCTACCTCACCGACCGTCACCACTACGTCTCAATAAACAATGTCAAGTCCAACACCTCCCCTGTCTCTACTGGCGTTCCTCAAGGTTTGGTACTCGGCCCCCTCCTCTTCATCATTTACATCCTTCCCCTTGGCCGCATCATTCGTCACCATGGAGCTAATTTCCACTGCTACGCCGATGACACTCAGGTTTACATTTCCACCAAATCTTTCACCCCAGTCATCACACATTGCATTTCTGATTTTAAAACATGGATGGACTGCAATTTCATCTCAAACTCAACAGCAACAAAACAGAACTCATCCTCACCAGATCCAAATCCCTCCTCCCCTCCGCCCAGAATATCTCCCTCACCATCTTTGGCAACACTTCCTCCCCCTCTGTGCGCAACCTCGGCGTTATATCAGACTCCACCCTTACATTCAAACCACACATAAACTATATCACCAAAACATCCTTTGTCCACCTTCGCAACATGGCCCGTCTCCTCCCCTCCATCACACAATCCACTGCAGAAATCCTCATCCACGCCTTCATCACCTCCAGACTCGATTAGTGCAACAGCCTCCTCTACGGTCTCCCTTCTGCTCATCTCCAAAAACTGCAATACATCCAGAACTCTGCTAGCCTAGCCATAGCCATCCGTACACTCCGCTCAATCATCATTTCACTGCATGTAGCGTCTGGGTCTGGTCCCTGTATTTGCGATTACAATCGATAGTATTTCGACCGGCTACACAGAGGCGGGTGTTGCAGGTCGGTGCCGGTGACGTCAAGAGTTTGCGCCGAACGGGCAGGTTGTAGTTTGGCAATGGCGAAGAATGCGATAGTAAAGTAATCTGGTCTGGTTCTATCAAGAAATTGAAGCAGGAGCAAGAGGAATGTTTAGCAAATGTAATCGCTGGTCAAGATTGTGGCGCTACTCCCCACGGGCTCCGTTAGCAGCAAAGGAGATGGCTAGGCTAAATGCTAATGCTAACAACTCACTCGGGCGCATTACATACATCACGGTAAACTCAGATCCAATCGTTTCAATCTGCAAAAGGAGTTAACCCCTCCCACCTGTTAACGAAGTCAATGGAGAAAATCCAGACCTTAGTATGAAATGAAATTTGTACTAAGGTGTTGTACGACCAGGCTATAACTCTGCCGCTCGCCTGCTCACCCACACCTGCTCCAGAGACCACATCACCCCTGTCCTCAAACAACTCCACTGGCTCCTTGTTCCTTACTGCATAAAATACAAGGTCCTCCTCCTCACCTACAAGTCCCTCCATAACCTGCCCCTTCACACCTTACTGACCTCCTCCTCCATCACTGTCCCACCCGCCGCCTCAGATCCACAGACTCCAACCTCCTCACTCCCATCAGAACAAAGTGCCGAACCTTGGGGGACCGAGCCTTTGCTGCAGCTGCCCCCACTCTCTGGAACTCACTCCCACCTCACATCAGGAACTCTGACGCACTACAGAACTTCAAATCACTTCTCAAAGCCCATTTGTTCAAAACTGCCTACACTTTACTCCACATTTTTAGTTTTTTTTAGTTTTTAGTTTCTTATTTTTCTTCTGTAAAGCGTCTTTGAGTGTCCAAAAATATAAGTACGATGTATTATTATTATTATTATTATCAATTGAATAATGTCAGTGATGCTCGAGCTCAGCTTCACGTGAGAGTCGTCTGTTCAGAGAATGATGTCTGTGATAACGTCCTGAGTCCTGAATGTTCAAGGATCATAGGTTTACACTTCCGTGTTTGCTTTAGTTCATGTGCAGACCATTTTAATTGTCACTTTTGAATGGAGGAGTCTTATTTTCCAAAACATTTTGTCACAATATTTGTGGCCCAAATATTGCAATACTATTGACTTGTCACATTTTTGCCTATTCCCACCACGATTAAAGAAATTATTAAAGCTTTGCCAATACATTTCAGTCTACATATATCGTGACTAGAATTGGTGTATAGGGCAGGTATTCAAACCCTGATGAAGCAGAGAACCACAGACTGGAGCCGCAGACTGGAGCCGCAGACTGGAGCCACAGACTGTGACACTGCTGTATGGAGCTCCCTCTGCTGGACGACACTCAGAACGACGCCTCCTCAGTGGATTGTGGACCCTGACTGTGCCCTGGTCATGGACTGTTTCTGCCATCTTTTTTCCCCAAAGCCTTAAAACTATTAACACTGGAACTCCCAGAGAAGTCATACAGGGCAGGGGCAGGGTATCGATCAGATAAAGTGACATTCAGTGGACGATGGATATCGCCTACGATGGTTATCGCCCACCCCTACTTCTAACACACTTTAAGATGTCAAGCCTAATCCCAGCATAACTCCTGAGGGCCAAGAACGGTGATTGAAAGGGCCACAATTTCCCCCTTGGCCACAGTTTGGTTTGATAATAATAATAGATTATATTTAGCTCCTTTCAAATCCTAAGAACACTGTACATGACTGCCATAAAAAAAACTAAGTGTTAAAAACAGTAAAAAAGTCAAACTTTCAAAGCATACAAATATCAAAAGATAAAAATCCCGTTATAACAGATAGGAAAAAGTACATCTTGTAGTACTGCAAATACGACCAAACGTATTGCAATGAGTCACACGTTATGAAGATCAAAAAAGTGAACTTTCCATTGAAGTCAATGGAAACGTATTAATGCCAACACTAAAAGACTCAGAAGAATAACAACTTACAAATGTAAAGTTTGAACTCTAAAAAGACAAAGACAAATGTATGAGTTTTGAAAAGACCCATCATAAAAGATACACACACCGAAAATAATAGACCCCAAGAGACGAAACCAAACAAAACGAGGTATAAATAAGGAGAGAGATGAAAAGTTGAAACGTGCCGGAATCTGGCGTAAGAAGAATACGGAAGATAGAATAAAGAAAACCAGAACAGATAAGTCAATTATCTCAGGAAAACAACCATGTTATCATCTCTGTTCTAAAATGTTATCTGAAATGTATGTACAAGTTATGGTTGTCTATTTACTCTTTTTTTTTTTTATATCAGTCTCCAAATACAGCTCTTCTTGATATTTGGCTCAGTAGTGGAAGAATCCAAACCCACTGGAGAATAATATTCAAACTCATGTTAAATACAGTTTATTTGTCGAAAGATGAAAATAGGTTTATAAAAAAACATGTTATTAAAATAATAAACACTTTTTAACTCTTGGCCCCAACCAACTCTTTGTTTTTGAATTAGAAAGTGAGTGAATAATAGTGAGTGCAGAGTTCCGCACACGCCCAGCAGGTGGCAGACTTCCCTCTCCCTGCAGCGGGGTCTGGAGTAAAACAAGAGTCTCTCCTGAGTCTCTGCAGCAGTAGCTCGTGTGATCCGAGTCCCTCCGGTTGCTCCGGTACAATGGTCATTAAGTGCTGCGTGCAGAGCTGCGGGAGCTCCGGGCAGCGGGACCTGGTCCTGCACCGCCTGCCCCTCGCTCGGCCTCAGGTCCTGGCGCAGTGGCTGTGCGCCCTGGGGCTGGACGCGGACACGGCTCCACACGTCCTCAGCTCCACGTACGTGTGTCGGGAGCACTTTGAAGAGGAGGACTACGTCCAGATGACCCAAACCTCAGAGAGGCAGAGGTCCACCTTGCTAAAGGCCAGCGCCGTGCCGACCCGTTTCAACACCACCCCCGGACCCAGCCCCGGACCCAGTGCCAGTCCCGGTCCCGGGGTGGTCCGCCGGTACAGGAGGAAGCGCAGAGTAAGAAGCGGAGTGGAGCCTCTCAGAACTAGAGCCTGAAAGCACTTGGAGATGTTTGTTCATTTCAGTCGAGGCCATTGGCTTTATTATGTTGAAACATTCTGATAAAACAATGTTTCCCGCTACTTTTTCCCATTCTGTGATCCTGCGGCTTATATAGTGATGCGGCTACTTTATGTTTTCTATTGTGGTAGTGTTGGGCTGTTGTCAGACCAGAGTTTATGGACTTATAATTTTGGCTCCATCAATTTTTAGTAGCTACAGGACACTGGTTTATTGTCATAACAGATGAAGGTGAAGGAATCATGCTAACAGTGAAGCTGTTTAACACCTCGTCATTGAATCATGTTGAAAACATGCTGCTCCATTACAACATGAAAACTTGCGGCCTGTGTGTGGAAAAGTCTACAAGTGCCTGTATTCTTTGCAAATGTTGGTGGTGCGGCTTATAGTTCAGAAAGGGCGGTAAATAGAAACTCAAGTCCAAGTTTTATTGTACAAGCACAATCACACCATAAACATACCAAACTGAGACTTCTCCATGTGGGACAGGTCGAGACCCCCAGACCCCCTCCCACCTCAACTGGCTCCTCTCAACCCAAAGACTTAAAGTGGCCTGAGCTCATGGCCGTAGTTGAGGTGGGAACGTGGATGGACCTGTAAATGAAGAGCTTTGTCTTTAGTCTCAGTCTTTACTACAACAGTCCTATACAGCTCTGACTAGAGACGCTTCTCTCTCCCACAGTGACCATATCCTTACACACTAGGGCTGGGAATTGGCAAAAATGTGACAATTAGATTGTATTGCAAATTTGTTCGTTTGGCAAGAGACGGGAGATTTCCAGGAGGGTCTAGTTTTCAGGACGTGACCAGCTTTACCTGCTGAAGTTAAATAACTTTATATTCACTTGTTTTTAGGGGCGACCTCCCACAAAGAAAAACTTACTTCTGAAGAAGAAGAAGTCGCACCCGCCCCTGCCCCCCTCAGGTAGTATTCTACACTTACAGTCTGTGGTGATGTTACACTGAGCTCCTGCTGCTCCACTGCAGGGTTTGACTGGGGATATTACCTAAACCGGGAAACGTCTCTTGGTGCATCAGTCTCGTGCTTCCAACATGTAAGTGGGGCTTGGTCATGAGTGACAGCAAAGTTTATAACCTGTATAAAATCAAAATATCGTTATGATTTTATACAGGCTCCGATGTGGGACCAGTGGGATGAAGTCGCAGTGGGGACTAAAGTGGAGGTCCTGAATACGAATGCTGTCCTGCCCAGTAAAGTCTACTGGATCGCTACGATCATCCAAATTGCAGGTTATTTGTAATTATTTTTGCTTATGCATCATGTACAAGGGGTTGACCCATGGGTCAAAAAACTTTATATATATTAATTAGCAGAAAAATATAATGGTGTCAAAAAACACTTTTCAACATTAAATCTTAGTTGTAACAATGTTGTTTCCATCAGTGGCCAAAGCCAGATCCATCAGAACTCTGAAGCCATTTACTCAGACCAAAACAAACAAGAACCACAAACAACATAACGCAGTCCTCCGCGCCCACAGTCTTAGTCTCACTTTCACACCTGAGGACGAGTCTGTGGCTCCGGTGTCGGCGTAATTAAAGGTAAATCCAAATTGTGATGAACAGAACATAATCCAATCAGTGAAAGTAATCCAAAAGTTTTGATCCTGGGCAGAGCGCGGTGGCTGTGCACGGTCTCCGCTCACTTCTGCCTCTAATCCAAACGAGCAAAGTTTACTCTTAAATGGCAACAGCGCTCTCAAAGCAGGGTTCGTCCCGATGGTCCTTTAGTCCGCTACAATACACTTCAAACATATAAAGTCCCGAGTCTCTCATGGTCTCCCCGAGTCTGGGCCAGAACCAAAACTTTTTTCAGTCTCTATCCCCCCGCACCTGATGGCAGGTGCCTGATGAGCGCGCAACCCTAGGACACGCCCCCAGGACACCCTCCCCAGGTCACCCTCCCCAGGACACCCTCCCCAGGACACCCTCCCCAGGACACCCCCCCCAGGACACCCCCCCCAGGACACCCTCCCCCCCAGGACACCCTCCCCAGGACACCCCCCCCCCCCAGGACACCCTCCCCAGGACACACCCCGTAGTTCATTCACTAAACACACGTGTCACACAGGGAAAATATAAACAAAACACATTTGCTCATGGACCATGGACAGCACGACAACAAAAACCGTGACGTCGCCCGGCATGGCGCAGCCGGGGCCCCACCCTGGAGCCAGGCCTGGGGTCGGGGCTCGCAAGCGAGCGCCTGGTGGCCGGGCCTTAGCCCACGGGGCCCGGCCGGGCTCAGCCCGAAGGGATGACGTGGGCAGTCCCTCCTGTGGGCCCACCACCTGCAGAGGGGTCCGTGGTGGCATGGTGCAGCGAGGACTGGGCAGCGGTCGAAGGCGGAGACCTCGACAACCCAGTCCACACACCCAACATCTGGCTGTTGGGACGTGGAACGTCACCTCACTGGGGGGGAAGGAGCCCGAGCTTGTGGGGGAGGTTGAGCGATACCGACTAGAGATAGTCGGCCTCACCTCCACACACAGCTTGGACTCTGGAACCCAACTCCTTGAGAGGGGTTGGACGCTCCACTTTTCTGGTGTTTCCCGCGGGGAGAGGCGGCGAGCTGGGGTGGCCATACTCATTGCCCCCCATCTCAGCCGCCACGTGTTGGAGTTCTCCCCGGTGAATGAGAGGGTCGCGTCCCTCCGCCTCCGGGTGGGGGACAAGTCTCTCACTGTTGTGACGGCCTACGGGCCTAACGGTAGTGCAGAGTACCCGGCCTTCTTGGAGTCCTTGGGAGGGGTACTGGACAGTGCACCGCCCGGGGACTCCGTTATTCTCCTGGGGGACTTCAACGCCCATGTGGGAAATGCCAGTGACACTTGGATAGGGGTGATCGGGAAGAGCGGCCCCCCTGATCTGAACCCGAGTGGTGTTCAGTTGTTGGACTTCTGTGCCAGTCACGGCCTGTCCATCACGAACACCATGTTCGAGCACAAGGGTGTCCACCAGTGCACGTGGCACCAGGACACCCTAGGCCGGAGGTCGATGATCGACTTTGTTGTCGTATCATCTGACCTTCGACCGCGTGTCTCGGACACTCGGGTAAAGAGAGGGGCGGAGCTGTCAACCGATCATCACCTGGTCGTGAGTTGGATCCGCTGGCAGGGGAAGAAGCCGGTCAGACCTGGCAGACCCAAGCGTATAGTGAGGGTTTGCTGGGAACGTCTCGCGGAGCCCCCTGTCAGACGGACTTTCAACTCACACCATGTTCGAGCACAAGGGTGTCCACCAGTGCACGTGGCACCAGGACACCCTAGGCCGGAGGTCGATGATCGACTTTGTTGTCGTATCATCTGACCTTCGACCGCGTGTCTCGGACACTCGGGTAAAGAGAGGGGCGGAGCTGTCAACCGATCATCACCTGGTCGTGAGTTGGATCCGCTGGCAGGGGAAGAAGCCGGTCAGACCTGGCAGACCCAAGCGTATAGTGAGGGTTTGCTGGGAACGTCTCGCGGAGCCCCCTGTCAGACGGACTTTCAACTCACACCTCCGGGAGAGCTTCTCCCAGGTCCCGGCGGAGGAGGGGGACATCGAGTCCGAGTGGACCATGTTCTCTTCCTCTATCGCCAATGCGGCGGCTCATAGCTGTGGTCGCAAGGTCTCTGGTGCTGGTCCCGGCGGCAATCCCCGAACCCGGTGGTGGACACCGGCAGTAAGGGATGCCGTCAGGCTGAAGAAGGAGTCCTATCGAGCAATGATGGTTCGTGGGACTCCTGAGGCAGCTGTCCAGTACCGGCAGGCCAAACGTGCCGCGGCCCGGGCTGTTGCAGAGGCAAAAACCCGGGACTGGGAGGAGTTCGGAGAGTCCATGGAGCATGACTATCGGTCGGCCTCGAAGAGGTTCTGGCAAACCGTCCGGCGCCTCAGGAGGGGGAAGCAGTTCTTTGCCAACACCGTGTATGGTGCGGGTGGAGGGCTGCTGACCTCGACTGAGGATATTGTCGGGCGGTGGAAGGAATACTTCGAGGTTCTCCTCAATCCCCCCGTCACATCCTCCGTTCAGGAGGCAGAGGCTGAGGATGTTGGGGCGGACACTTCCATCTCCCTGGCCGAGGTCACCAAGGTGGTTGGCAGCCTCCATGGTGGCAAGGCGCCGGGAGTGGATGAGATCCGTCCTGACTATCTAAAGTCTCTGGATGTTGTAGGACTGTCTTGGCTGACACGTCTCTGCAACATCGCGTGGCGATCGGGGGCGGTGCCAATGGAGTGGCAGACCGGGGTGGTGGTCCCTCTCTACAAGAAGGGGGACCGGAGGGTGTGTTCCAATTATCGTGGGATCACACTCCTCAGCCTCCCCGGTAAGGTCTACTCCAAGGTACTGGAGAGGAGGCTACGCCCGATGGTCGAATCTCGGATTCAGGAGGAGCAGTGTGGTTTTCGTCCCGGTCGCGGAACACTGGACCAGCTCTATACTCTCCATCGGATACTCGAGGGTTCATGGGAGTTCGCCCAACCTGTCCACATGTGCTTTGTGGATTTGGAGAAGGCGTTCGACCGTGTTCCCCGGGGCGTCCTTTGGGGGGTCCTCCGGGAGTACGGGGTCCGGGGTCCTCTGCTGAGGGCCGTCTGGTCCCTGTATGACCGGAGCCAGAGCTGTGTTCGCATTGCCGGCAGTAAGTCAGACCTGTTCCCGGTGCATGTTGGCCTCCGCCAAGGCTGCCCTTTGTCACCGGTTCTGTTCACTGTATTTATGGACAGAATTTCTAGGCGCAGCCAGGGGCCGGAGGGGGTCCGGTTCGGGAACCACAGGATTTCATCTCTACTTTTTGCGGATGATGTCGTCCTGTTGGCTCCAACGAACCAGGACCTGCAGCATGCACTGGGACGGTTTGCAGCCGAGTGCGAAGCGGCTGGGATGAGAATCAGCACCTCCAAATCCGAGGCCATGGTGCTCGACCGGAAAAAGGTGCCTTGCCCTCTCCAGGTGGGTGGAGAGGTCCTTCCTCAAGTGGAGGAGTTCAAGTATCTCGGGGTCTTGTTCACGAGTGAGGGAAGAATGGAGCGTGAGATTGACAGGCGGATCGGTGCAGCGTGCGCAGTGATGCGGTCTCTGTATCGGACCGTTGTGGTAAAGAAGGGAGCTGAGCCGAAAGGCGAAGCTCTCGATTTACTGGTCAATCTTCGTTCCCTCCCTCACCTATGGTCATGAGCTTTGGGTAATGACCGAAAGAACGAGATCGCGGATCGCGGAGTGGCTGGGCGCTCCCTTAGAGATAGGGTGAGGAGCTCAGTCACACGGGAGGAGCTCGGAGTAGAGCCGCTGCTTCTCCACGTCGAGAGGAACCAGTTGAGGTGGCTCGGGCATCTGTTCAGGATGCCTCCTGGACGCCTCCCTGGGGAGGTGTTCCGGGCACGTCCCACCGGGAGGAGGCCCCGGGGAAGACCCAGGACACGCTGGAGGGACTATGTCTCTCAGTTGGCCTGGGAACGCCTTGGGGTCCCCCCGGACGAGCTGGAGGAGGTGTGTGTGGATAGGGAAGTCTGGGCGTCTCTGCTTAGACTGCTGCCCCCGCGACCCGGCAACGGATAAAGCGGAAGAAAATGGATGGCATTTGCTCATGTAAACATTTGTGCTTCAGCCACATCAGAGTGTGTGTGTGTGTGAATAGTTGGTGGTGGTCAAAGGGGATGATGCCACAGACTGGTTTCCTCACTCCTGTCAGTGTCCCCCAGGGCAGCTGTGGCTGATATAGGTGCAGATAGTTTGCTGATCCCTTTTCTACACTGATGTGTCTGAAAACAAGGGACTGAGATGTTTCATGATGTTTCTTGTGTGTTGTTCAGGATACAAAGTTCTTCTGCGGTACGAAGGCTTTGAGCATGACAGCTCCTATGACTTTTGGAGTAGTCTTGTCTCTGGAGAACTGCATCCGATCGGTTGGTGCGCGATGACCACCAAGCTCCTGGTGCCCCCTCAAGGTGAGCCTCACGCATGAGGCCAAACTGCTCTTGTGCTTCCCCTTATTTTATAAAAGTCACATACAGTACTTTCTCCAGAACGTGAAGAAATTGGAACTCAATTCAATAAATGTTGTATAGCCCTGAATCACAGAAGTCGTTATCTCAGAGGACTTACAAAGCTGTTGATTTGTCAACCCAGGCCAGAGAATCAAACAAACTGATAATAGTCCGATCAATGGGATTAAACCTGACAAGTGCAGTAGAATGTTCTGGTCTGTTGTGTCAAAAGTCCAGCAGAACCAACGCTGACACTAGTCCATCATCAGCAGCTGGTTCTAGGTCATCTGTGACTTTAATAGTGGTGTTTCAGTGCTATGATGAGCTCTGGATAACTTTATTATTATTTATTATTAATCTTTAGTAAGGACACAATACAATACGGTCCATAGTTAAGAGAAAATATCCAGTACACATTATATTGCATATCGAAAAAGAAACAGAAAAACAAAATGGAGAACATTACCGCTGCTGCACAGTATAAAGGCCGGACCTCCAGTGAGTCCGTCCTTTGGAGGTGAACAGCAGTGAGCAGACTTTGGTCTTAATCATGTGTTATTTAAAGTGTTATTTAAAGTGTTATTTGCGTTGTTTCCAGATGTCAAAACGAGTATTAGTGATTGGAAAGAGTACCTGATGCAGAAGCTGGTGGGAGCCCACACGATCCCTGTGGACTTTTACATAAAGGTAACACCATCCATGGTCTCTCCTTGTGGAGGCGTCATGTCTGAAGTTCCCTCCGGGTGTTGCAGCTGTCGGAGAGCCTGCGGTGCCCCTTCAGGTGTGGCATGAGAGTGGAGGTGGTGGACCCCAAACACATCAGCCGCACCCGCGTGGCCATCGTGCACTCGGTGTTTGGAGGGCGGCTGCAGCTGGTCTACGCCGACCAGAGAGACGCTCCGGAGAACACCAAGGCCGTGTTCTGGTGCCACATGTCCAGTCCTCTGCTCCACCCCATCGGCTGGTCCAAGAGTGTGGGCCATCCCATTAAACCTCCAGGTTTGTACAACTGTTTATTTCACCATGTTGTCGTTCCTTTCATGGTTTTTTAAGGCCTGTGTATGTTTTCAGCTAATAGTATGGAGGCAAACCCTTTGAAGGGTTTCTCTGACTCTAATGCAGAACTATTTAAAAAGGTAAGGAACGATACTTTTTCAATGGTCACTATTGGTGGGAAAAAATGATTCTGATTAGTATCGCAATATTCTACGCAAACAATGAAGTTGATCTTAGCAGGTCATAATAAATGTGACAGAGGAGTTAAATTTCCTCTGTGTTTGTAATGTTGTTGCATAATATGAGGGACATGAATCACAATACATCGCAGAATTGAATCACAAACTGTAAGCCGTATATGTTAAGAAGAATCACAATAATTTACAATTGTGGCCCAAATTATTATTATTATCTTTATTTGTCAGACTCGAAGTCCATAAAATACAAACACAACAAACAAACAATTATAAAAGACAACTGTACCAGAGCTTCCACAGTTGTATTGATTCATCACATTTTTGCCAATTCCTACTGTTCACAAAACCAATCCCCATGTGTTACTTTCAGCCGAGATACGTCTATATGTACGGGACGTTCTTTGAAAAGGGGATGAAACTTGAGGCCATAGATCCGCTCAATCTGGGCAGCATCTGTGTGGCCACCGTGCAGAAGGTTTGTGCCCTGAACGCTGCAATATCAACGTTTACTTCAGACGTGACGCTCATGTGGTGAGGCCCTCAGGTGCTGCTGGACGGGTACCTGATGGTGGGCATTGACGGCAGCATCGTGGCAGATGGATCAGACTGGTTCTGTTACCACGCCTCGTCTCACGCCATCCTCCCCATCGGGTTCTGTGAGAAGAACAACATCCCCCTCACCGTGCCTCATGGTATAGTGCTGTCCTGGTCTCCTAAAAGAAACGGATGACTGTAAATAATGTACTTAATGGTGGTTTTGTGGCAGATTATGAATCCAGGACGTTCAGTTGGCCCGAGTATCTGCGAGAGAAGCGCGCCCAAGCAGCACCTGCACATCTGTTTAACTATGTGAGTTAGAAAAACGAGAAAAGTATTGTACCCAACCGTACACATAACTTCTACAACTAAAAATGATACTTCAGTCATCCCAAAAGTTACAAGAAATAAAGATATAATTTGGTCAATATTAGCCTGGTCGTACCACACCATAGTACACATTTCATTTCGTACTAAGGTCTGGATTTGCTCCATTGACTCCGTTTACAGGTGGGAGGGGTTAACTTCTTTTGCAGATTGAAACCATTGGATCTGAGTTTACCGTGACGTATGTAATCCGCCCGAGTGAGACGTTAGCATTTAGCCTAGCTTTATCCATCTCCTTTGTCGCTAACGGAGCCCGTGGGGAGTAGCGCCTCAGTCTTTGCCAGCAATGACTTTTGCTTAACATTCCTCTTGCTCCGGCTTCAATTTCTTGATAGAACTAGACCCGGAATACTTAACCATCGGATTCTTCATGAATCAGCACAAACTCTTGACGTCACCCACACTTAACTACAACACCCGCCTCCCGCGCTCACTGATTGGCAGTGTTGGGCACGTTACTTTGAAAAAGTAATTAGTTATAGTTACTAGTTACTTCTCCCAAAAAGTAACTGAGTTACTAACGGAGTTACTCCACTATAAAAGTAACTAGTTACCAGTAAAAGTAACTATTGCGTTACTTTTTCGTTTTGTTCTGGAACATAATGTGCACTTGAGGTGCGCAGTTTTACCTTTAACCTTTTACCTTTAACCTCAGTGAGTTTGAAATAGTGCCAATATTTCCATCTAGAAAAGGCTGTTTTGCTGCTGAAGTCTTCCTCACTCTCCATCTCTCTCTGTGCTGTAAGCACTAAACACCAACACGCTCTACTGTGAATGTGGAAACACTGGTGAAGCACTGACTTCAGCCCAATCAGATGAACATATATATCATATAAATCAAGTGGACCAAGAGAGCGGCTTATTCACAGTTTGTTTGGCTGCAGCAGAATATGTTTCATGCCTGCACTGTTTGTTCATACAAAAACGCAAAACTATGAGTTATGGGTCTTACCTTATAAATGACCTGCACAGTCCACTTCAGTTCAGACCAGTTCTGTGTTTAAGTCCAGATAATAGTTTGAGCGTAGATATGTAATCCTCCATTTGGAAATGAGTTTTAAAAAGTAAAACAAAACGCGTGTGTCCTCCATAAACTCCTCTGTTTTTCTAGCTGCAGCCGGGTGCATCCAATTTCTAAAATCAACAGTCTTACACTGCACCTCTCTTTCTTATCATTCCTATAGTCATTGAAAAATTACCGTAAGTGCATTTTAAATTATCTTAAAATGTGTTATATGTATGTTAGCCAAACCTATTGCTGCCTTTCGCAGATAAACCAGGAAGAGAAAGGAGCTTTCTGATGGATTTGTATGCAGCCTTCTGCGCTCACATGTGCTCCTCTGAGGCCTCACGGTGATACAAGCCGTGGTTGAGCGCAATTAAGACCCATATTTGTTTCAAAAACACACTTTATGAGCATCCTCTCAACTGTAAACTGTAGATTGTAAAGGAAATATGTTTTACATCAGCCAATAATTGCTGAGAGGTTTTCTCATCCTCCCTTCTCTCATGACAACACGCGCACGTGTCCTATCACGAAGTAAAAAGAGAAGTTCATTGTGCGTCTTGAGTAACGCGCAGTAACGGGATGTCGGAAATGATAACGGCGTTATAGTTACAGTCAAAGTAATTAGTTAGATTACTCGTTACTGAAAAAAGTAACGCCGTTACTAGTAACGCCGTTATTCCCATCACTGCTGTTTGGTCGGATGGAATTCAACAGATTGTAATCGTAAACACAAGGACCAGACCCAGACGTTACATGCAGGACATGATTGACCAGAATGTATGGATGGATTAGGCCAGGCTAGCTCAATATGGAACCACTGATAACAAGTATCATAGAGGATGATTTAATGGATCGAGATACTTTATTACTATTGTCAGTAACTTTTAGAATTATGTATTTCAATAAAGTGCAACAGAGGTGATGTAGACGCTGGTGAGTCTGCTTGGTTCAAACCATTTTCGCTGCTCTGGTTCCGAGTGATTTTTTTTTTTATTTCCTCCCTTTTTTTTGGTTTGACCGGTTCTCTGTGGTCCCTGTGATAATGTCCCTATGCCCCTCTGCAGGAGTACCCCGGCCACAGCTTCTCGCCCCACATGAAGCTGGAGGCTGCGGACCTGATGCAGCCGAACCTGGTGTGCGTTGCCATGGTGAAGCGTTGTGTGGGGAGGCTGCTGCTCATCCACTTCGACGGCTGGGACCAAGAGTACGACCAGTGGGTGGACTGTCAGTCTCCAGACATCTACCCCATCGGCTGGTGCGAGCTGGTCAACGTGCAGCTGCAGCCGCCGCCGGGGCTCGGTGAGGAATGCATCTACACACAAACACACACACGCGCTGGCAGGACTGTCTACACACACAGAGACACACACACTGCCAGGACTGTCTACACACACACACACGCACACACACCGGCAGGACTGTCTACACACACACACACACTGCCAGGACTGTCTACACCAGGGGTCGGCAACCCGCGGCTCCGGAGCCGCATGCGGCTCTTGAGTGCTCCTGGAGTGGCTCCTGGAGCCTTTTCAAACATGTCTGAAAATGGAGTGTGAGGGCTATATTTTATTTCTAGTTTGAATGTGGTTTCTGTAGGAGGAAAAACAATCTTTACGTTTTTAAATGCTGTAAAAATATGTATAAGTAATATCTAATTTCAACATTTCTGTCAACGTAGTGCGTCATATCCTATGACGCGCGGTCACGCGGCCCCGCCCCATGCGGCCGCTGCTGTAAACAAACCGGCGTGTGAGCATCATAGACTGTAAGTGCACATGGATCCCGAAGCTAAAACGTAAAGAGTCGATAACAAGACTGGACTAAGAATGAGAATGAACATTTTCTTTCAGTCAATGAGGAAGGACTGCTTCATGTTTGTAATGAAAAGTTTTGTTGCAACACGAGGAACAATGACGCGCAAAACGACGTAAACGGTGATTACGTGAAGGATTCATTCATCAAAAATTCAGAGCACCTATTTTCAGACTTCAAAACCTTCTCAAAGACGGTGAAAGAAAAGGCCAGGATTTTAATTCAGCTCCAGCAAACTTCAGCCTGTGACGTGATGGATATGAGCAGACAGTGATGCAGGTATGTGACCTCTGAGCCCAAAGCAGATTGATTTTTCTGTATTTCTACAATTGCATGAAGGCAAAAAAATTGAAGTTAAACTAAAGCAGAGTTGTCACGTGTTGCGTCATTCACGACACGCGTGGTGCGACACGCTGCAGTGAAAATACACATTTGATAATCATGAATGATTATTATGTATTTGTAGTCTTTACTTTGTCATTTAGATATTAGGCTAATATAGCTAATACATCTTGCAGCCTGTGTTAACTTCATAAAAGCCTTATACAAGGCTGTTATTTTTTGCGGCTCCAGACAGATGTTGTTTTTAGTTTTTTTGTCAATTATGGCTCTTTGAACATTTTGGGTTCCCGACCCCTGGTCTACACACACACACACACACACACTACCAGGACTGTCTACACACACAGAGACAGACACACACACACACAGCCAGGACTGTCTACACACACAGAGACAGACACACACACACACAGCCAGGACTGTCTACACACACGCACAGACACCGCCAGGACTGTCTACACACACACGCACACGCACTGCCAGGACTGTCTACACACACACGCACACACACTGCCAGGACTGTCTACACACACACACTGCCAGGACTGTCTACACACACAGAGACAGACACACACAGACACACACGCACACACACACACACTGCCAGGACTGTTTACACACACAAAGACAGACACACACAGGCACACACACATCCATTTGGTAGATCACCTTTTGAGTCAATAAATCCCATTTAAGCTTGGAACTGGAGTCTACCTCCTTGGGGCGTCTCACTTTGTTTAAATAACACAAAAATGACATTGCTTTTGTGAAGGAGTTAATGCTAAAGGGTTAATAACGATAATAAATTGTTTGTTTGCAGTTGACTTGATCGAGCAGCTACGAGTCAAAAAGGACAAGCCTCCCTTTGGAACCAGAAAGAGTACGTGGTGATGTTGAACTTGTAACTTGTAACTTGTAACTTGCTAGCGCTAACGTTTGGCCTCGCTGTGGTGTTTTTAGAGAGACGTTTTGGAAGGAGAGCGTCTTCTCAGGTGAACTATGACGACTCTTCACACGAGTCTGGGAGAGAAGAGACCCCCGGACCCTCGGAGTCCGACTCCCCCCTGAAAGCACCCGCCATCCTGCCCAAAGTGGAGCCAGAAGACCAGCCCCAAAGTACGTTTTATTATTCTGATTTTACCAAGAAGGAAGATCGAGAAATACTAGACCTTGTTTTAGCTTATGGCATTTCAGTATGTAATCTGGAAATTTGTGATGCGTTTTTTTCTGATCATATGCCAATTGCCTTTGATGTACCTCTCCTGTGCAATGTAAAACAGTGCACTCCAGCGCGTCATTGTCAGGTAATTAACTCAGCCACTGTCGCTCAGTTTTCTGCTGCCTTTGACCAGTCCCATTTGGCCGTTCATTTTGGGTTTGACTGTGATAGTGAAGGTTTTTCTATTTGTTTTGATGCTGCCTGTCGGCCTATTTTAGACCATTTGGCTCCTCAGACCAAGGCGTCCCAAGCCGAGTTCTGAGCCATGGCTAAATGAGTCCACTCGCGCAGCTAGACGTGAATGCAGAAAAGCGGAGCGAAGATGGAAAAGGGATAGACTGCAAATTTCCTATCAAATCTTAATTGACAGTCTACACAATTATCAGAAATGTGTCAAATCTGCTAAGGCACGGTATTTCTATGATATTGTCACATCCAACAGGAACAACCCTCGTGTTCTGTATAGTATGGTGAATGCTGCTCTTAATGTCCCCCCTTCAGATAGCCTTGAAGCATCAATTATTGTTTGTGAAAAACTCCTGCACTTTTTTATAAATAAGGTTGTGGCCACTAGGGCCTTAATCGGCCCTACACCTGCTGGCTCTTCTGTATGTGTGACCTCCATCCATCCATCCATCAATTTTCTTCCCCTTAATCCATTTCTGGGTCGGGGGGTGGCAGTCAGAGCTGCACCCAGTACACATAGCACCAGCCCCTCACTGATCCTCCTGCAGGTGGTGAGTCCACAGAAGCTGAGATCTTTCAGCGGGGGCTTCAGGCAAAGTGGGGTTAAGTGTCTTGCCCAAGGACACAACGACAGCAGTCATCAGTGGGAGTCGTGAAGTAGGTCTTATGGTGGGCTCAAACCCATGACCTTCAGGCCTACAGGCCAGTGCCCTACCAACTGAGCTACTCTCGCCCCACCTGTACAGCTGTATTTCTTCAGTTTGAGCCTGTGACACTCTCTTGCTTGACAACGGTGGTCAGTCAAATGAAGCCGGCTGGTTCACCGGATGATCCCATCCCACCGCGCCTATTCAAAGAAGTGTTTTTCACTATAGCTCCTTTTGTTTTGCACATTGTGAATAATAGCCTGATTAAGGGAGTGGTGCCTGCCAGTTTTAAACATGCTGTTGTCCAGCCATTTTTTAAGAAGTCTGGCCTTGATTCAAATGATCCTTCAAACTATCGTCCAATATCAAAACTTCCGTTTGTGTCCAAAATCTTGGAAAAGATCGTCTTTGCCCAGCTGAAGTCATTTCTGGATGAAAATGATATTCCTGAGGTGTTCCAATCTGGTTTCAAGAACCTCCACAGTACAGAGTCAGCGTTGTTACGAGTTTATAATGATATCCTGATGTCCACTGCCTCTGGCCACACGGTGGCGCTAGTACTGCTGGACTTGACCGCCGCATTTGACACAGTGGATCATGAAACCCTCCTGTGTCGCCTTCAACAATTCAGGGCTATGCTCTGGAATGGTTCCGATCTTATCTGAGAGAGAGGAGTTTCTGTGTGAGAGTTGGTGACTTTGTTTCCTCCACAGCCCCCCTGTCGTGTGGGGTGCCGCAAGGGTCCATCCTTGGGCCACTCCTCTTTTCGTTATATCTGTTGCCATTAGGAACTATCCTCCGGAGGTTTGGGGTGTCATTCCACCTGTACGCAGATGACAGCCAAATCTATGTGTCCCTTAAGCGTAGCAATAACTTTTGCAGCACCGAACTTCTCAAGTGAATATCTGAAATCAAAATGTGGATGGCAGCAAACTTTTAGCATTTCAATGAAAAGAGTGAAGTTCTGCTGGTCGGGCCCAGCAATGGCAGCAGTAGCTCCGTGGACCTGGGACCTCTAACACAATTTGTTAAGCCCATAGTTTCAAACCTTGGAGTGAAAATGGATGCTGATTTTAAATTTGATAAACAAATAAGTGCAGTAGTGAAGTCTAGTTTCTTCCATTTAAGGCAACTTGCTAAAATAAAGTCCTCCCTTTCAAGACAGAATTTTGAAATTTTAATTCAGGCTTTTGTTACAACTCGGCTGGACTATTGTAACGCCTTGTACACAGGGATCAGCCAGTCCTCACTTGCTGTCGTCTGCAGCTGGTACAGAACGCTGTGGCGCGTCTGTTAACTGGACCTCGGAAGTTTGACCATAGCTCTCCAGTCCTGTCATCACTTCATTGGCTTCCTGTTCGCTACCGGATTGATTTTAAAGTCCTTCTGTTTGTCTATAAATGCCTGAATGGCCTTGCTCCGCGCTATCTGTCTGACCTACTGACGTCATACGCTCCATCACGTTCGCTTAGGTCGGCAGATCAGGCTCTGCTCTGGGTTCCTCCGACTAAACGGAAACTCAGAGGAGATCGAGCTTTTTCGGTTATTGGTCCTAAACTATGGAATGAGCTGCCCCTGTGTGTGAGACTGTCTGAGTCACTTCCTGTTTTTAAGTCTCGTCTTAAGACACACTTGTTCTCATTGGCTTTTAATTGATTTCAATTGATTTTTTGCTGTAAATAGTGTTTTTTTTTTTGCCACTGTTTTGTATTTTTTAAATGTATATTTGTGTATGTCTTTTTATGTACTGCACTTTGGTCAACCATGTTGTTTTTATTAGTGCTTTATAAATAAACTGGATTGGATTGGATTAGAGTTCAACCTCAATCACATTAAATACTAATTTTAATACACATGGCCAAACCTGCAGGTGAAAGCCAGATCTCGTCAGACCTCTGAAGCTAAGCAGGGCAGGACCTGGTTTAATACTGTGATGGGAGACCTCTGGGAACAGGTGCCACAGTGGGGCGGCTGTAAAGTGCCAAACTGTGGTTGTGTCCTTAGGCAAGACACTTCACCCACATTAGAAGGAGTCTGGTGTGTGTGTGCATGGTGGGTGGGTGTGGGTGGTGGTGGTGGGAGGGGCTGATGGCACAGACGGGTTGCATCGCTTCTGTCAGTGTGCCTCAGGGCAGCTCTGGCTACAGTAGTAGTTTGTGTGAAGCGTCTTTGAGTGTCCAGAAAAGCACTGTATAAAAAAAAGTTTATTACTAAAACAATTGTGTCTAAATGCATCGTGCTGAGATGGGCTCTGACATGTCGCACTGCTCAGACTGCTCTCACACAGATTCTGCTCCAGCTCATTTGAAAATGTAAGAAGAGGATGAATGGAGACTGCATGAACGGTCCCATCTCAGCCCACCTCTGCTGCACTGCAAAAATGATGAAAAATACATGAATTATCTAGCCATTGGGACAAGCTAAAATATGTAGTTTTAAAGATATACTAGAAATGTCTCCTTTGGAATGAGAAAATACAGCCACTTCTTGAAATAAGACCAAATGGCTTCATCCCAGATTTAGATGAAAACCTTGATTTAACCATTTATCACCTCGTGTTTTATCATTTTTTGCAGTCACATCTCATGATTTTATAAATGTTGATACATGAAAATAATAGATATATGCCATTCACAACATGTCTAATACTGATACTAATACTTCTCCTTTAACCATGTTACATCATCGACCTGGACACCAACATGTCACTTTGTCCTGGAATAGTTTGGTGAATGAAAAACAATTGCCCAAAGATTAGTTTTGAGTAAGTTTGCCAATGAAATGACAATATTTACAATCATGTCTAAAGAAATTGGGGGGAAACACCACGTCAAAAATCACTTCAACACCTCCCTCTAGTGGTTGCATAGGGAATTTCAGGCAGAAAGCATTTTGTTTTAACCACAAACTTTCTCCTGAGAACGACACCATTCATAATATTTGTCTCATTCTGTTTTTGCAGTCGGTGCCGTCCACGTCAAAGTGGAGGAGGTGGAGATGGAGACCCCCATAGACCCCACACAGGTCTCTTTGAGTAAGGTCAAAATCGAAAACCCAGGGATCAGCGTCACCAGCACCACCGTGTCCGGGGGGAACCTGGAGCTGTCTGGGGCCGGAGCCGAGGACTATGACGAGGGAGAGCCCATGGAGGGGGAGCCCATGGGCTTTGAGTCGTACGACAGCCACAACAGTGATGAAGAGGAGCAGAGTGACGGACACACCAGCTCCAGCGAGGATCTCTGAGCACCGCGTCTCTCTGTACACGTTGTATACTGTGTAAATAGCCATTATTTTTCTGAAAAGAATATTATAAAATTAAAGCTGCTTAATAAATTACTTATGTTTTATTGGTGTCTCTCCATTACTTAAAAAACAGATGTTCAAATATTTTAGTAAGAGGCCCACCAGACTAGTCCAGGGGCTAACGTCACGGACTGAAAAACTGTCTTGACTGGCATCCGGCTGTTCTGAGCTTTAAAATGATCTATAACAAAGCTGAAGTTGGCTGAATGACAATGTTTACCAACTCACAAGACAGCGACTGGGTTTTAGAACAAGTCTGTATATTGGCTAAGCTGAAGTTGGATGGATGACATGGTGATCTCAAAGATTACTTTAGGTTGGCAAGACAGAGGGCCGCAATTGGCCCCTGGGCCAGCACATGCTTGACTGATAAGGCCTTTCCTCAGTGGTGTGAAACCTCGTTATAATGTAGATATTTTATGTCTTTGAAAAAGGCTCAGTTTGGGATAAAATATGATCCTTTAATAGTCCCGCAGTGGAAATGACAGACGTATGGATGGTTTTGGTAAAGTCCATTCAAGTCACTTCTGTTTTGTTTTAGCAGTTCTGGAAACTTTACAAAGCTGTCGATTCACCAACACAGATCAGAAAATCAAACCGTTCAGAGTTATTGCTCCATAAATGTTGATGAATGTCCATATTTCAGAACTACATAGTTTTATATTTTATTATTTGAAAATCTTTTGCTCTCTGAGAGTCAAATAGTGACCCACAAAAGAGTGTGAGTGTCTCCGTGTGTGTGTCTGAGTGTGTGTGTGTTTCCCTTGTGCTACCATCAGGTCAAAATTATCCACCATTTAAAGCAAAAAATAAACTGAATCGGTGGGAAAAAACTAAATTCAACCTGGAACAGAAATAATTTGGGGTTTTCTTTCATCTCAGGAGTCGGGCTTTAAACCAATTAAACAAAAATTATGCCAAGATACAAAAGATGAGTCGACAAACTACACACAAAGATCACCATCATGACAGAATATTCAACACAAGTCTCACAATACAATAATTATCAATATATTTAGATTTTTTTTATTTCAATCCTGCAGAACACGATTGTACAAAAAGCCAATTTTATATGAAGAAGATGGATGGATATTTATTGGATTAGGATCATTCTGAAGAAGACCAAATATATCACTGGTACAGGAGCACATGTTCTTATCTGGGTGTTGGTTGTGCACATTTATAGGGGCAGACATGTTGCTAAGACTGCTACAAAGGCAAGCTGGAGTTTCCCTCGAGAATGAAATGAGATGGAAAATCCTTATCCCGCTCGAATCTGGATTTACTAAGACGAAAGAAACACCAGGACCACAGAGAGATTTTTAAACCCAAAAATGGTGAATGTGACACAAACGGATACTGAGCAGGAGGAGTTTACTTTTCAGATGTAAAGGAACCAGATTAACAAGCAAAACTTTGTCCATGAGCACTTCCCTATTGGACTTCATTGAGCTTGTAGGTTAGCATTGTCCAACTACACTGAAAAAAATGATGGAAAATAAGTCAGAAAATGTTCAAATGAGCACATTCGTCCGGCCTTAAAACAAGTCTGCCAACGGGACAAACAAAATTATAAATACAAGAAACGTGTCAAAGTGTGGATTTTATTTTTGTATTTTGGTTTTATTTTGAAATCAATTCTCTGTGGTTTGGTTCTGGTTGTACTTTCTGTTTTGTTTCCCTGTGTTGATTTTCTGCCCCGCCCTGATCTTTCACCTGTGTCTATATGTACCTGTGTCTCTGTGTCTATATGTACCTGTGTCTCTTTGTGTCTATATGTACCTGTGTCTCTGTGTCTATATGTACCTGTGTCTCTGTGTCTATATGTACCTGTGTCTCTGTGTCTATATGTACCTGTGTCTCTGTGTCTATATGTACCTGTGTCTATATGTACCTGTGTCTCTCTGTGTCTATATGTACCTGTGTCTCTGTGTCTATATGTACCTGTGTCTCTGTGTCTATATGTACCTGTGTCTCTGTGTCTATATGTACCTGTGTCTCTCTGTGTCTATATGTACCTGTGTCTGTGTCTATATGTACCTGTGTATCTGTGTCTATATGTACCTGTGTCTCTGTGTCTATATGTACCTGTGTCTCTGTGTGTCTATATGTACCTGTGTCTCTCTGTGTCTATATGTACCTGTGTCTCTGTGTGTCTATATGTACCTGTGTCTCTCTGTGTCTATATGTACCTGTGTCTCTGTGTCTATATGTACCTGTGTCTCTGTGTGTCTATATGTACCTGTGTCTCTCTGTGTCTATATGTACCTGTGTCTCTATGTGTACCTGTGTCTCTCTGTGTATATATGTACCTGTGTGTCTATATGTACCTGTGTCTGTGTCTATATGTACCTGTGTCTCTGTGTGTCTATATGTACCTGTGTCTCTCTGTGTCTATATGTACCTGTGTCTCTCTGTGTCTATATGTACCTGTGTCTCTGTGTGTCTATATGTACCTGTGCTCCTCTCCTCTTCTTGCTGGTCCATTGTCTTGTTTGTTCATGTCTTTGATCCTGGTTGCGTGTTGGATTTAGAATTAGTTTTATTACCTTTGGACTTTTGTTTTTTTTCATCATTAAACCATGTATATTTTTTCCTTCCTGTGTTTTGAGTCCTCCATCGTCTCACTTCATGACAAAACCTCTCTCTTGGAATTAAAAAACAGTGTATATACAGTCTATGGCTCAAACAGCTCCAGAGTCCTCCTTCAGACCGCCTTCTTCACGTCTCTGGGGCCGGTCCTGGTCTTAGTCTTGGTCCTGGTCTTGGTTGGGGGCATCTTGGCCTGCCTCTTTCGGTTGAGGTGTGTGGGCTTGGGCTTGGTGGCTTTAGGCGGGCGGGGGGACTGGGTGGTGGTGGGGGGGGCAGGGGGAAGGCTCTCTCCCCCGGGACAGGAGTGGAAGGTGTGGACGTCCTTCACCCAGCGGCCCCTCACCTCGGGCGGGTTAGCACAGGTGGCTCTCACTCTCAGGTTCACCTTCTCAATCCACCTGCGGAGGACACACATTTTATTTATCCACCAATGAGCAACAGACAAACTTTCCACTAAGAATCTAATCTTAAGAATCTAATCTTCTTACGTTGTTTCTTGAAATAGAAAATAATATATTGAATTCAAAAGAATCATTTTGGTTCATGAAGTATCTAAAAGATGCCCCCTCCTCTTTTGTGGATTTGGGTCCTTTAGAAGAATACTTAAAACCAACTGTGACAAACCTCGGTGTGAAGCTGGACAGTGCTCTGAAGCTTGACGTTCAGATCAGATCTGTTGTAAAGTCCAGCTTTTATCAGCTCAGGCAACTGTCCAAAGCAAAACCATTTGTTCCTCAGCATTTATTTGAGATCTTAATTCATGCTTTTATCACAAATCGTTTAGACTATTGTAATGCACTTTATTTTGGACTCAATCAGTCGTCTCTCGCTCGACTTCAACTTGTACAAAATGCTGCTGCTCGCCTTTTAACTGGCACCAAAAGGCGAGAGCACATTACACCTGTTTTGAGGTCACTGCACTGGCTCCCTATTTCATATCGTGTTGAGTTTAAGATAATTTTATTTGTTTTTAAATGTCTTCATGGTCTTGCTCCTCAGTATCTGTCTGACCTGTTGCAGCCCTATACCCCTGCACGCTCCCTGAGGTCAGCAGATCTGTCTTTGCTGGTTGTTCCCAAAACAAAAAGAAAAACCAGAGGCGACCGTTCTTTCGCTGTTGCTGGTCCTAAACTGTGGAACGCACTGCCCCTGCACCTCAGACAGACAGAGTCTCTTGTTCCTTTTAAATCCTCTCTTAAAACACACCTTTTTTCCTTGGCTTTTAACACAACCTGAGAAGTTCGACTTTGGAATGTTTTGTACTTTTGTTTTTACTGTTTTATTAATGTAATCCTCATTGTTGTGTTCAGCACTTTGGTCGACGCTGTTGTTTTTAAAGTGCTTTATAAATAAAGTTGGATTGGATTGGATTGGATTGGAAAAAACGGATCGAGTCAAAGCTGACTCGAGCTTTTGAGCTTTGTACATTTGAGACATGTCAGTGCCAATCAACCAACTCTGAGGAGCACAGGGACTGGCCTCCTGCTGGGACTCCGAGGAGCACAGGGACAGGCCTCCTGCTGGGACTCTGAGGAGCACAGGGACAGGCCTCCTGCTGGGACTCTGAGGAGCACAGGGACAGGCCTCCTGCTGGGACTCTGAGGAGCACAGGGACTGGCGTCCTGCTGGGACTCTGAGGAGCACAGGGACTGGTCTCCTGCTGGGACTCTGAGGAGCACAGGGACTGGTCTCCTGCTGGGACTCTGAGGAGCACAGGGACTGGTCTACTGCTGGGACTCTGAGGAGCACAGGGACTGGCGTCCTGCTGGGACTCTGATGAGCACAGGGACTGGCGTCCTGCTGGGACTCTGAGGAGCACAGGGACTGGCCTCCTGCTGGTCCCAGAGTCAGGACTAAACATGGGGAGCATTTCAGTTTTATGCAGCTAAAATCTGGAACAGTCTTCCTGAAAATGTGAGACAGACTTCTTCTCTGACAATATTCAAATCCAGGTTAAAACCGTTCTGTTTAGCTGCAAACAACTGAAGGTTGTTGTTTAATCTTTTGAATGTACTGTGAATATTTTTATGTAATTGTTTCTATCCAGTTGTGTTCAGAACTTTGAGTTGCCGAGAGTGTGAGCTGTGATTTACAAACAGTAGCTTTAAGTAGTTTTACATCCATGTGCTCTGTGCTCTCTCTGTGTGGTGTGGTTGGGAGTGTCTTACATGCGCAGCGCCAGCAGGGGGCAGTCACACATCAGGGGGTTCTCCGCCAGGTTAATGACCTCCAGGGACCTAAAGCTCCGGAAGTCTGGCACCTCCTCCAGGAGGTTCCCCTCCAGGAACAGGCTCCTCAGACCCGGGGCCAGGCCTGAGAGAGAGTCAGGGGACATCTACACACAGACAGAGAGACACACACACACACACAGAGGCACACACAGAGGCACACACAGAGGCACACACAGAGACACACACAGAGACACACACAGAGACACACACACACACAGGGAGACACAGACAGAGACACATTTGTTATTTATTTTTTATTCTATTTTTTGTGTACTTTTTTGTGCAGCACTTTGGAACTGTTCTGTTGTTTAAATGTGCTATAGAAATAAAGTGGATTGGATTGGATTGGATTGGATTATGCGTTGATATGTTTTTTTTTTTACAACAATAATAATTTGAAACTTGAGACAGATTTCAACACTGCACATAGTTCTATCGTTTGTTATTTGAAAATGAGGTCAATGTTATTTAAATGTTATATTGTGCTCTCTGTGACTCACAGAGAGCTAAAGAGTGTGTGTGTGTGTTCCTGAGTGTGTCTAGGTGTCTGTGTGTCTAAATGTGTGTGTGTGTGTCACTGTGTACGTGTCTGTGTGTGTCACTACTGTGTGTGTCTCTGTGTGTATGTGTGTGTGTGTGTGTGTGTGTACTGACCCTCTCCAGCCCCATGTTGTTCAGGTAAAGCTCCTTCAGAGTCCTCTGCACTGGTCTGAAGGCCTGGGGCCCCACCCACAGGATGGGGTTCCCTGTGAGGCGCAGCTCCCGGAGGCCCCCCACTGCGCTCAGCGCGTCTGTGGGCACCTCCTTCAGCTGGTTGGCCCCGAGGTGAAGAGTGTCCAGGTCTGGGGTGGGCTCCAGGGCTCCAGGGGCCACGTGCTGGATACTGTTCCCGCTCAGGTACAGCGATCTGAGGCTGTCTGCTCCGCTGAGGGCCCCGGCCCCCAGAGCACTGATGCTGTTGTTCTCCAGGTGAAGCGCCAGGAGCCCGGGCAGGAGCCTGAAGGCCCCTGCAGGGACCAGGCTGAAGCGGTTCTGCTCCAGGTGGAGGTACGTCAGCTGAGGCAAACCTTTCACAGAGTGGATTCTTAAAACAGGAAATATATGAAACCTGCATCTAAATGTGTCAGGGGTCTTAAACTTAATATGTGGGGGCCGCATGAGGTGCAGTCTGGGTGAAGCCGGGCCACATCGAGGGGTTATGTTTATCACGTGTTTGTGTGTTTGTGCAGAATATACACATCTATGCAGAGATTCTCTTCTCAGTCTTTAACATTAACAGAGAAAGTAAAGGTTTTGGCTCCACACAGACACAAACATGAAAACCAAGAATCAAGAGTTTGTATCTGACTTTTTATCATGAAGGAGTTTGGATCAAATCATGACTGGCCTCCTGCTGGGACTCTGAGGAGCACAGGGACTGGCCTCCTGCTGGGACTCTGAGGAGCACAGGGACTGGCCTCCTGCAGGGACTCTGAGGAGCACAGGGACTGGCCTCCTGCTGGGACTCTGAGGAGCACAGGGACTGGCCTCCTGCTGGGACTCTGAGGAGCACAGGGACTGGCCTCCTGCTGGGACTCTGAGGAGCTCCTGCTGGTCCCAGAGTCAGGACTAAACACGGGGGGGGCAGCATTTCAGATCCATGCAGCTAAAATCTTCCTGTACATGTGAGACAGACTTCTTCTCTGAGGGGTTTTATCTTCACTCGTTTCAATGGACTGTGATTATTCATGATTTTAATGCCTTGATGATTGATTGTATCTTGTTTTGTTCAGCCCTTACCTTGTGTATGAACTGTGCCATACCAATAAACTTGCCTACAGTCCTTCTCACTTCCCTCCTCACCTTTGAACGCGTCCGGACTGAGGGAGGAGAGCTGGTTCTGGGACAGGTACAGGTAGACCAGGCCCCTCATGCCGCTGAAGGCCCCGTCCTCCACGTCCACGATGTGACAGCGCTGCAGGTGCAAGGACACGGCCTGGGACACGCCCGGGAAACTGCCGCTCGGGACGTAGTGGAAGTTGTTCCCTCTGAGGTCCAGGAGCCGGGAGCCAGGGTCGAAGCCTCGGGGGATCTTGGACAGGCCTCGGTTCTCACACGTGGAGTGCTGCGTCTCCGCCTGGACCAGGACACAGTCTGGGTTTAACACGTTGGTTTTGAGACTTGTGCTAGCGGCCAATCAAAATTACCCGCCACTGATGATTCAAAGTAGAAGGTAAATATCTAACTTAGGGTTTAAAAGCGTCTAAATGACTCAGGGATGGTTGTTTTTTATTTAGGGTATTTTTGAATCACTATGACGGGTACATTTAACCTGAGGAAAACACAATTAAAACTATTATTAATCTATTATTTGATTAATAACAGAGAAGCTGTAATTTCTTATCCAGGACATTTAAACAACATTTATGGACATTTTAACAACATTTATGGACATTTATGGACATCAGTGATCCGCCCCTTTTGGATCAATGTCTCTGTGTTTTTTGTCACTGCATTTCTTGTGTTTGAACGGTTTGATTCTTTAATATGTGTTTGGGAATTCAAGGGTTTTGTTAAGTACAAGCGAACTTCTGTTGTGATTTAAGGATCTACAATAAAACATTGAATTGAATAGATTTATTTTGAAGGGAGATGCTGTCATGGAGCGGACTTTTTCATTATGTTGACCTGAATTTGTTTGACTCATTTGTTTTCTTGTAGTTTGTGTTTGCTTCTGGTCTCCTGTTGATTGTTTGCCCTAATGTCATTCATTGTGTCTCCTGTGTGTGTTTATTCCCCGTGTTTAGTTTGAACTGTTTCATTCTCTTATCTGTGTTGGTAACGGTTTTGGTAAAGCCATCATTAAAGGGCCCTAATCTGTCAAAAGGCATTAATAAACCATGGTCTTTTCAAATACTTCTTTAACTGATAACAGTCGTTCAGAGATATTTGGATTTCAAAATTACTTTTCCAGCCTCTAAATCTTGTTATTGTTTTAATTTCGATGTCCCGCCCTCCACCGTTTCACCAATCAGAAAGTCTGATCCTGTTTGCCAGAACTCACTGCGTGGAGTTAATCTCACTGGTAAAGTACCATGTGGCACAGAACTAAAAAAGGTCTCGTTATGATTCTCAAATCATTAACAACAAAACAAGGAATAAAACCAGGATTTCTATCTTTGTGAAAAAGGTGTTGGTTATAGATTTGTTGTTGACAAAACTCTTGTCTATTCAGCTGTTATGGTCCCAGCTGCATTCGTCTGCATATCTGGCAACCTGAGTCAGGGAGAGTGGGAGAGGCTGCAGTACCACTTTTGGCCAAATTGAATTGAATTGAAGCTGTAGAGATGTTCAAAGACACTGGCAGCACAATCACCTGACACACACAGTTGTCTGGACACTTGATGTGTGTGTCCGTCGGGGGGGCGGGGGGCGGTGTGTTCCTCGTGGCCTCCTCGTACTCGGCCTTCAACATGGCGTCGTGGCTCTGGCAGCGCAGCTCGGAGGGGGTCATGTTGTCCAGGGGCTCCCCAGAGAGATGAGCCGGACCCCCGCAGGACCCCAGCAGCCGCACCTTCCTCCCCACGGCCCACTCCCTGTTCTCAACCAGGGACAGAACTCATTACTCTGCTCCTGCACCTCTTTGAGACTTCTCCTTTTTCGATTTGTAGATTATTATTCTTTTGGTGTCATCAATTATCATGAAATTATCGTTTATTCTTTTAAAGATGCAATGATTTATCCAGACGTCATTTTTAACATACTGTGGGGAAACGTCTCTAAACCCTGAGTTGTTATTGATTGGTATTTTCTGAAACACCTACAACAACGCTGTCAGACTGTACAATGAGTCACTAATAACCTGCACTCGGACTGAAGAACCAGCTCTGATATTGCCACTTTTTTATTGTGCATAATTATTTCCTGCGCAGACTATATTTTTAACCTTAACATGTTTCACACTTCAGTTTCTGTTTCTGCACCATCTGAGTGACGGTACATTTCTCCATCGTGAGATCAATAAAGTTTATCTTACATTATCTTATGGCTAAATCGAAAACCCCCAAAGTGACAATTTCACATCAGATGGTTTTGTATAAGAAGACTCCGGATGCAGCCAGGGCTCTGTAAAGCAGGCCGTCGAGTTTTGCTAATTGCTATTTTGTTAGGGGAAGCTAGCGTTAGCATGGCGGGCAAATAGCTCTCAGACTTGAGCGCTAATGTAGTGTAAAGCTTTCACATATCAAGCATGGACCGCATTATTACAGAAATAATAATGTAAAAATATTCATGTGTGCTGGGAGTTAGATTGAGATGCTAATTTTTAATCTTTTAAATGCTAACCATTCAGAAATTCACTCTAAACCAGAGCAGAGAAAATGGTCCAAACCAAGCACCACCTCTGCTGCTGTGACTAATTCTAAATCGACTATTGTGAGTAACTTTAAGAATGATGTCTGTATGGATGGATGTGTTTCTGCTCCTCCTGAATCTCTAAATCTGGGATCAAATAAGTATCTTTCTATCGATCTATCAGATGTTATCTTTTGCATTGTTGTCATTATGTGAGTCACTATTTGCCGCTATGAGCCGAGAGCTGATTGGCTGAGTGAGTGTGGTCCTCTCTTTTTATGCCTGAAAAATATATGAACAAAGAAATGACAACAAATGTTTTTAGAACGAGAAACTGGATAGCTTTTGCTCCATTTGTTGCGATTTGAAAGTTAGGTACCTCAGCTTTACACCCCGTATGTAAAACCAACATCATTCTTAGTCGAGGAATGTCTTTTGCTTTGTGAAAATGGTGTCAATACTTACTTTAACTGTAAGTGAAGAAGAGGGCGTACCGTAAGGAGCGCAGGTAGCAGTTGCAGTAGATGGGGTTCCCTGCCAGGCTGACCCGGGCCAGGCTGGGCGTCCCGGGGGAGAGGGGCTGGAGGACCCTGAGCTGGTTGTGGCTCAGGTCCAGGTGCACGAGGCTGGGGCACTTGGAGACGGCGCTGTGGGACATGTCCTGCAGAGACATGTGGTCCAGGAACAGGTGGGTCAGCTTGGCCATGGACACGCTCTCCTCCCCCAGGTACGTCATGGGGTTATGGCTCAGCTCCAGCCGGGTCACCTCCGAAAGTCTGATAGGACCAGAGGGAAAAAAGAGTGAATCATTTACATATGTGATTCTATCCAAAGTCCTTTTTTGCATTCCCTTAAAGTAGTCATATGTAAGATTTTCATGTCATGTCCATAGACTGTATATATATCAACAGACGTAGTCACGCCTATCTCCGCCGTTCTAACTAACGGGCCAAACATTGGGCTTTCATGGAGTGATTCAAAAGGGCCGCGGGGGCTGGAAAATGTGAAAAAACGCATCTGTGCATGTGTCAGCTGCACGAGCACCATTCATTTAAACGAGTGACTTCAAAAATTCACAGCGAGTAAACTAGAGTGGTCCAAAAAAATTCACCCCCCTCAGCATTGACACACATGTGGAACCAACTTTTGGACCATCCTGTAAAGACGTTTTTGAGATGTAAGAAGATGCTATATGTTAGCATTGGCTCATTCTAATTCCGGGTCCACCCCCATCTGCCCGGAGTGGTATTGCAAGCATGTCAGCGCACGTCATTTTGGCCACTTTTGAGCCGGGACCCGCCTCCACTGATTCAGCTTTCATGGTCCCAGCTGGATTCGTCTGCATATCTGGCAACCTGAGTCAGGGAGAGTGGGAGAGGACAACAGAATATTGACCGTGATTGCAGTACCACGTTAAGCCAGATTTGTACATATTGCTCCTTTAAGAATAGATTGGACAAATACTTCAAGTGCATCCGAGACATGTTAGTACAATATGGACTAAGTGGGACTCTGAGGCGTGTGGAGCCTGGTGTTACCGGTGCTGACCGCGTCATGGTGTCAGTGGGGAAGAACTGCAGCTCGTTGTGGTCCAGACTGAGGCGTGTGAGGCTGAAGAGACCGGCAAAGGCCTCTGTGTCCAGGTAGTTGAGGGCGTTGTGGCTGAGACGCAGCAGCTTGATGTTCTGCAGACCCTGAGTGCACAGCAGCGGACGGTGAGGTTCAGGTAGCTATATGTAAGATTTTCATGTCCAGTCATCATTAAAGGGCCCTAATCTGTCAAAAGGCATTAATAAAACATGGTCTTTACCAACACTTCTTTAACTGATAACAGTAGTTCAGAGATATTTGCATTTCTAAATTAGTTTTCCAGCCCCTAAATCTTGTTATTGTTTTCATTTTGATGCCCCGCCCTCCACCGTTTCACCAATCAGAAAGTCCGTGATCTGGGTTGCCAGAACTCACCGCATGTAGCTAATCTCACTGGTAAAGTACCATGTGGCGCAGAACTAAAAAAGGTCTCATTATGATTCTCAAATCATTAACAAAACAAGGAATGAAACCAGGATTTCTATCTTTGTGAAAAAGGTGTTGTTATAGATTTGTTGTTGACTAAACTCTTGTCTATTCAGCTGTTATGGTCCCAGCTGGATTCATCTGCATATCTGGCAACCTGAGTCAGGAGAGAGGGAGAGGCTGCAGTACCACTTTTGACCACATTTTTACAGACTGCTCCTTTATCCCTGTTTACTTCTTTAAAAAAAGCAATGTAAAAACATTTGTTGTTGATTTTCTATGTTGTAGGAGCACCAATGACAAAAAAAATATTTTTTATTTTTTTGGAACATCTAGGTTTTAAATTCTAGACATTTACCAAACGGTAGAGATGCAGGAGATGGTAAACAAATGTGTTTTGGCAAATGAATTATAATTTTATATCTACAAATACAAAAAAGGAAGCAGGAAATTAAACAATACCAGAAATTCACTCACGTGAAGTATTTTTGATTGAAAACTACAGCATTTTAACATAAATTACAACATTATAAATGGAAACTGTTAGATTCCCTAAATCTCAGATGAATTATTGAGCCAATATGAAAGTATAAAATAAATAAATAAACCTGAAACAGTTCATCATAACTGTCTGAATCACTGTATGTTAAGAATGTAAAAAAAGATTGTATTGTGGATCAAATACCACAATGTTCCCAGCCCTAAAGTGAGTTAGTTAGTAATGTTTATTTATTTATTTATAGTGCATTTCACAGACCAAGGTGACCCGAAGCGCTTGTAGAACCCTTTGTTATGATGGTAAAGAGTGGTTGTGAACCTGGAAGACCATGTTGGGCAGGTACACCAGCTGGTTGTGGGTGAGGGAGAGCAGGTTGAGGAGGCCCAGCTGAGAGAAGGCCCCGGGCTGGATCTCCTCGATGCGGTTCCGATCCAACATGAGCTGCTTCAGGGAGGACAGTCCATCAAAGGACTCCTGCGCGGTCAGAACATCATGGTATCAACAGGTTCAGATTCAGTTAATTTGCCATTTTGCAGTAAAACCACATTGGAATACATGTGCAAGACAGCTCACAGTGCTCTGAGAGCGGAGCACCTCTCTCTCTCTCTCTCTCTAGTCTCTCTCTTTCTCTGGTCGCTCTCTCTGGTCTCTCTCTCTTTCGCTCGATCTCTGGTCTCTCTCGCTCTCTGGTCTCTCTCCCTGGTCTCTCTCTCTGGTCGCTCTCTCTCTCTCTCTGGTCTCTCTCTCTTTCGCTCGATCTCTGGTCTCTCTCGCTCTCTGGTCTCTCTCCCTGGTCTCTCTCTCTGGTCGCTCTCTCTCTCTCTCTGGTCTCTCTCTCTTTCGCTCGCTCTCTGGTCTCTCTCGCTCTCTGGTATCTCTCCCTGGTCTCTCTCTCTGGTCGCTCTCTCGCTGGTGTCTCTCTCTCTCTCTGGTCTCTCTCTCTGGTCTCTCTCTCTCGCTCTCTGGTCTCTCTCTCTCTCTCTGGTCTCTCTCTCTCTGGTGTCTCTCTCTCTCTCTGGTGTCTCTCTCTCTCTGGTGTCTCTCTCTCTGGTGTCTCTCTCTCTCTCTGGTCTCTCTCTCTCTGGTCTCTCTCTCTCTGGTCTCTCTCTCTCTGGTAGCTCTCTCTGGTAGCTCTCTCTGGTCGCTCTCTCTGGTCTCTCTCTCTGGTCTCTCTCTCTGGTCTCTCTCTCTGGTCCCTCTCTCTCTCTGGTCTCTCTCTCTCTGGTCCCTATCTCTCTCTGGTCCCTATCTCTCTCTGGTCCCTCTCTCTCTCTGGTCCCTCTCTCTCTCTGGTCTCTCTGGTCTCTCTCTCTGGTCCCTCTCTCTCTCTGGTCTCTCTCTCTCTCTGGTCTCTCTCTCTCTCTCTCTGGTCCCTCTCTCTCTCTGGTCTCTCTCTCTCTCTGGTCCCTCTCTCTCTCTGGTCTCTCTCTCTCTCTCTCTCTGGTCTCTCTCTCTCTCTCTCTCTCTGGTCCCTCTCTCTCTCTGGTCTCTCTCTCTCTCTGGTCCCTCTCTCTCTCTGGTCTCTCTCTCTCTCTCTGGTCTCTCTCTCTCTCTCTGGTCTCTCTCTCTCTCTCTCTCTCTGGTCCCTCTCTCTCTCTGGTCCCTCTCTCTCTCTGGTTCTCTGAGTGGTGCTGACCTGATAGAGGATGTCGATGTTGTTATTTGCCAGGTTGAGAAAGACCAGGCGTCCCAGGCCCCGGAAAGCCCCCTCCCGAACCCTGCGGACGTTGCTCCGCTGCAGGGACAGGTGGGTGAGGTACGGGGTGTGTTTGAAGGCCCCGGTGGGCAGCTCCTGGATGTCGTTGCTACGGAGATCCAACTTCACTGTGATCTAGAAATGAGAAAACAAGTGGATTTCTGGTTTAAAGTCATATCCGGGCGTTTTTCTTTTTCTGTGATGGGTTCTGTACCTCGTCTATGGCGGGCGGGACCTGGGTGAGATTCTTGTTGGCACAGGCCACGGTGAGGCGGATCTGGTCGCACACACAGGGCTTGGGACACCTGGCAGAGTGGGCCGTGGGGCAGAGGCAGAGCAGCAGCAGGGAGAGCAGCAGGGAGGGCATCTGGGGTAAAAATATCAGTGTGGAAGTGTGGGGTCCCCACTTACAAACGACAAAGATGGCTAGATGTTATTGTAGCTTTAGTCTGGATCATCTCTGAGCATCGCCAGTCAGTCCGGAGAATGTGGGAGAAGTGCCTTGCCTTAGTGCACAACGGCTAAACATGAGGAGGCAGCGTTTCAGGTTTGTGCAGCTAAAATCTGTCAGTCTTCCGGAAAATGTGAGACAGGCATCTACTCAGTGACATTGTTCAGATCCAGGTTAAAACCAGTTCTGTTCAGCTGCGCAGACAACTGAAGGATTTTAGCTCTGCTCTTTTTAAAGCAGCAATAAGTAAGATTAAAGGGCCCTAATCTGTCATCATTAAAAGCCCTTATCAGTCATCATTAAAGTGCCCTAATCTGTCAAAAGGCATCGATAAAACCTGCTCTTTTCCAACACTTTAAATGATAACAGTAGTTCAGAGATGTTTGAATTTCAAAATTAGTTTTAGAGCCTCTAAATCTTGTTATGGTTTTAATTTTTAAGCCCCGCCCTCCACCGTTTCACCAATCAGAGGGTCTGTGATCTGGATTGCCAGAACTCACCGTGTGGAGCTAATCTCACTGGTAAAGTACCATGTGGCCACAGAACTAAAAAAAGTCGTTATGATTCTCAAATCATTAACCACAAAACAAGGAATAAAACCAGGATTTCTATCTTTGTGAAAAAGGTGTTGGTTATAGATTTGTTGTTGACAAAACTCTTGTCTATTCAGCTGTTATGGTCCCAGCTGGATTCGTCTGCATATCTGGCAACCTGAGTCAGGGAGAGTGGGAGAGGCTGCAGTACCACTTTTGGACAGATTTTTACATACTGCTCCTTTAACTGTGGTTATTTATCAATTAAATTATTTGTGTGATTTAAATATTTTTAATTTCCCATGTGATTTTAATGTTTATGATTTAAGCCTTATGTGACTTTTAGGTTGATTGAATGAATGTTTGCCGGTGCATATTTGCATCTGGGTGTTCCCAAAGGTCTCCCATGATTTAGCTGACCAGGTCCTGCCCTGCTCAATGTTTGAGCTCTGACAGATCAGGCTTTCACATGCAGGTGGCATCACTTTGGGACATGGTGACTTGAGTCAAAAAATATATTCTACTAAATACTATGAATGTGTTTTCTCTCTCTGGTCAAACTCTCTCTCCCTCCCTGGTCCCTCTCCCTGGTCCCTCTCCCTGGTCTCTTGTGGAAAATTGCTGAGTCAAAACATTGACTAAATACTACTATGAGTGTGTTTTCATCTGATCTATGTTATTACAGCATCAATAGGCGGCTGTTCCAATATTGTTTCAACAAATCAGGTTTCCCCACAACCAATGGACTAACCAATAAATGGTCCGGGACAAACATCAGATCTGCAGTGTGTCTAACCAATGTGTTTTCATATTGCTCATTTAACGTTCAGAACAATCCCAGTGGAATGTGGGTTTGTAGGACGTGTGGAGCAGGACACAGGCAGAAGTGTGCCCTGGACTTAGACCTACTGTACGTCTACAGCTGGAGACCGATGCTTTTATAAATGATGGCAAACAAAACCATGTTCAGAGCGGGCTCCAGTCGCAGTGGAATGCCCTAAAACCACAGGTCGGATCAGCGCTCTCCTGATCCGTAGGAATGGGCTTTTCAAAAGATGAACAGAGCCAGCTCCACATTTTGCAGTCTGGGAATATTATCACGGTTGAGTCAGTCATGTAGGAAAGCAAGACTGCATTTACTTTAATGAAATCTATGTTTTGAATGATTTAAAAGGCAATGTTTGTCCCCCCGTCATTTGGAGAAAGGATGTCTTGCATTTTAGCAGACTACAGAAGATAAAGCCAGGAGCCACTGGCTTCCTGTGGCTCAGAGAATAGACTTTAAAACAGCTCTGCTTGTGTACAAGTCTCTCCATGGCCTCGCACCAAAATATATTGTGACATGTTAGTCCCATATGAACCAGCCCGGACTCTGAGGAGCACAGGGACTGGACTCCTGTTAGTGCCCAGAGTCAGAACTAAACATGGGGAGGCTGCTTTTCAGATTCATGCTGCTAAAATCTGGAACAATCTTCCTGAAGATGTGAGACAGGCCTCCTCTCTGACAATGTTTAAAACCAAGTTAAAAACGGTGCTGTTTAGCTGTGCATACAACTGAGGGATTTTATATTTTTATCTTTTGTTTTAATGTTCTGTGATTATTTATGATTTTAATGCTATCTTGTTCAGCACTTTGAGTTGCCTTGTGTATGAATTGTGCTATACAAATAAACTTGCCTTGCCTAAAGTTTACAATCCGTGGCTCCACACATAATTTCTTTAAACTCAACCCTTCTTTAGCTCCTTTCAGACATTGAAGTCCAGTACAATAAGTAGGCTTGTATGTGGCGGATGTGTATATATTTATATGTAAATAGGTAATATGTATATTTTTGTTCAGTAACATTAAAGCCTTTAGATGCACTTTAATGTAATGTAATATACTAGCATTAGCAGCTTGTACGGTCTCACATAGATGCAAATATATTGATCTGTGTTGTAAATATTATCCTATACCCGCACTACTGCACTGGTCCGTTGCTAAACTGCATTTCGTTGCATTGTTCTGATTTTGTAAGGACAATTAAGTTGAATCTAATCCCTGTGTGTATAATGTATACATGTCTTTCCTGTTGCTTCTGACACGGACTTATGAGGGGCTATTAGAACTTTTAAAATGTTTTTATTATAGTTTGGTTTTGTGTTTTGTATGTCTATTCCAAAAAAGACATACTCTGTGCAGAACTTTTGTAAAATGTTGTGGAAAAACCCAAAAATAAAATCAATGTTGCTTCTACGATCTTGATCTCCCACCAGCCGCTGTCGTGGGAGCGTGTAGCAGCGGTGTGCAGACGAGAGGCCGCAGAAACCAGAGCTGGAGGAATTTCCCCCACAGTGTGAGCGTCTCTCCGGGAGCCGAGCCGAGCGCACAAAGCTCACAGTGTCTGCCGCTCTGTGCCTCTCCTCAGGTCCGACCGTGAAGCTGCTTTACTACCTCTGGATCATCTATTCATCAAGCAAGTACTTTTAAAAACAGCCCGACTATCATCTCAAACTGTCTCAATAATATCCAGCCAAAGCTTAAAGCAGACTTCTAACACATTCTCTGAAACCGTAAGTGTATAAACCGGACTCACCTTGTGTATTTTTCTTCCGTTCTAAGTTTCTAGCCTCAGCTGAATGTCTTGCCCTGTGCCTCTGCTGCTGTTCCCCGGACTGTCCCTCATTCAAAACAAATCCACTGCCCTCCTCGTCTGCCACTCCCACACCTCCTGCGTGGACCTTTACGTTCTTCTGTCCCAAATATAGTTTGTACGGCTGCAAAAGAAACCTCCCATTATGACCAGGATAATACAATTAAAACAAAGAGGCGTTAGTGGTTCAGCAGGCTTTAGTTGTTCCGTTTAAACATTTCCCTTAAACTTGTTATATTGAGGTAACATTGCATGACAGTGATGTATTTTAAAAACAATAAAAAACCCTTTATTAAACACTTTTGTGATTGTGGTCATAAACGGCGGTGAACAGACTAAAAAAAGTGGTTCCAAAAAAATAATTGTATATTTTAAAAAAACTAATACATGTCATTCACCGATTCAATAATTATGTTAAGTACAAAAATATGAGTTTGTGGACAGTCCGTGGTGCAGAGGTCTCAGATTAAGGCTTGTCGGTGTGTGTTGGGTGTGTGTGCTCCAGTGTGGATATGAGAGCGTCCCTGGCCCCGCTGCAGGACTGGAGGGTCTGTCTGCTCCTGGGGACGAAGAGAGAAAAACAACATGTGTGAATGTTTTTTTGCGGCAGACGGAGCAGAACGGCCACAGCTCCCGAGGTTCGCTGACCTGGAGAGGAAGGTGAGCAGCAGAGAGGCGTAGTCTGCTTTGAAGTAGCTTTGCCGCACGCCGTGGTCCAAACAGCGCAGGTGACCCGGCAGCACGCTCGTCTTCTTCACTTTGCCTTCGCCCTGAAACGCAACGGTTTTATTTGAGGCGCGACGAGGAAACGGGAAAGTTTCAAATGTTTCCATTCGCTTTAGTGTAGAGGGAGGATCCTGTGGTTTAGAACTGATTGGCTGACTTTTGTTTGAGTTTTGTCATTTATGAGTCAATAAACGTCAGAAAATATAACAAATTTGAAAGTGGGAAACTCTGCTGTGGTAACAACTGCTGCTTAATTGTAAATGTATAATATCTAATGACAAACCACTTAATACTAATGTGATTTCTTGCCATAGACACAATCAATTTTTATTCAGAAGCAACAATGATTACATTTGTCCACTAGATGTCAGTGTTACAAGCTAGTCTGAGCTAGCGCAGAGGCTTCAACACATTTGAAACAGTCTGGCAGGAGATCCTCAGTGTGTTACGGGGCTTCCTTCGCCCATCACTGCTACTGCGGTGTATGAGCTTCACCTGCAATGTTTGTCTATGTACAGTCTGTGGCTCCATGTACAGTCTGTAGTCTGTGGATCTACGTACAGTCTGTGGTCTAGGTACAGTCTGTGGTCTAGGTACAGTCTGTGGTCTAGGTACAGTCTGTGGTCTAGGTACAGTCTGTGGTCTAGGTACAGTCTGTGGTCTAGGTACAGTCTGTGGGTCTGTGTACAGTCTGTGGGTCTGTGTACAGTCTGTGGGTATGTGTACAGTCCGTGTACAGTCTGTGTACAGTCCGTGTACAGTCTGTGTACAGTCCGTGTACAGTCCGTGTACAGTCTGTGTACAGTCTGTGGGTATGTGTACAGTCCGTGTACAGTCTGTGTACAGTCCGTGTACAGTCTGTGTACAGTCCGTGTACAGTCTGTGTACAGTCCGTGTACAGTCTGTGTACAGTCCGTGTACAGTCCGTGTACAGTCTGTGTACAGTCTGTGGGTCTAGGTACAGTCTGTGGTCCGTGTACAGTCTGTGGGTCTACGTACAGTCTGTGGGTCTACGTACAGTCTGTGGGTCTACGTACAGTCTGTGGGTCTACGTACAGTCTGTGGGTCTACGTACAGTCTGTGGGTCTACGTACAGTCTGTGGGTCTACGTACAGTCTGTGGGTCTACGTACAGTCTGTGGGTCTACGTACAGTCTGTGGGTCTACGTACAGTCTGTGGTCCGTGTACAGTCTGTGGTCCGTGTACAGTCTGTGGTCCGTGTACAGTCTGTGGTCCGTGTACAGTCTGTGGTCCGTGTACAGTCTGTGGTCCGTGTACAGTCTGTGGTCCGTGTACAGTCTGTGGTCCGTGTACAGTCTGTGGTCCGTGTACAGTCTGTGGGTCCATGTACAGTCTGTGGGTCCATGTTGGGTTAGGAACGTAGAATTTGTAACGTAAACTTGTTGTTCTGTAATTACTCGAGTGCGTTCCAGAGGATTACCTTGAACAGACCCATCAGAAGCAGCAGGGTGGAGAGGAAGCAGTAGGACTGTAGCTCAGAGCCAGAGAGGCACTTCTTCAGGACCGCATCTGACAAACACAACGATGATCTCAGAGGGAGGTATCGACAAACACACACATGACACACACATGACACACACTTTAACGGCTGTCCCAACAAAAACCTGTGCATTAGCATCGATAGCTTCTTTTGCACTGCCCCAGGTCTAGACCAAAGACCAGAGGAGACCGGGCCTTTGCTGTGGCAGGGCCCAAACTCTGGAACGCTCTCTCTCATTTCAAGACATTTCAACTCAAGCAAAAATGAAACTTATAATAGTAATAGTAGTACAATAATTATTCTATTTTTCCACTGTATTTTATTTGTGTTTTGTGTTTTATTTAGTAATGTCCGGAGAGCACTTTGTGACGGTCCTGTCTGTTTTTAAAATGTGCTTTATAATTAAACTTGACCCACCGATAGTTTCCAGCACAGCGTCTTTGGCTTCGGGCTCGTCGCTGTACAACGAAGCCACTTTCAGAAGCAGCTCTGCAGATTTGTGAGGGTTTGACGTGTCCACCTGAAAAACACCCAGAGTTTTAAGATCCACACGTTACACAGATGCTCCCGAGTCGCTCTGAAACTGTTTTTACAATCGTTATTTTTCTGTAAACGATGTGTCAAAGTTCAAAAGATGCAAACTTATGAAACTGAGTAACTAGATAGATTTTTATAATTACAAGTTTTGAGTTCTTCTAAAGCAGACGATATAAAGTTTTGTGAATTAGGTTCCCCAGCTGTAAGATCCATAACAGATGATGAATGATAAACTAGACAGTGGCTCAGTTGGTAGAGCATTGGCCTTTGAGCCTGAAGGTCATGGGTTCGAGCCCACCACAAGACTTTCTCCACCGACTCCCACTGATGTCTGCTGTCGTTGTGTCCTTGGGCAAAACACTTAACCTCTGGGAACACCTGTAGTGGCTGTAAAGTGCCAAACTGCCGATGTGTGCTTAGGCAAGACACTTCACCCCCATTGCCTAGAATGAGTTTAGTGTGGAATGGTTTGAGGTGGTGGGAGGGGCCGATGGCACAGACTGGTTGCCTCGCTTCTGCCAGTGTGCCCCAGGGCAGCTGTGGCTACAGTAGTAGTTTATCACCACTGTGTTTGGAGTGAATGAATAATGACAAGTGAGGTGTCTTTGAGTGTCCAAAAAAGCGCTATATAAAACCAATGCATTATTATTATTAATATCGGGGCTAGAAGGTCATGTTGATTTTTCATTTTTTCTATCTGTAAATGGTGCTGCTCTGTTCATGGTTTTCCACTGATCCAGACCAGAGCAGAGAGGACGGTCTGAACCATGCGGATCAAGCCGAAACCCACCGGAGGAATGCGCTTTTTGTTTTGACTAATGCTAATAAAGCGTTCAGAATGTCCCTCTCCTTCAGACATCCATAAAGAATCCATAGAAAGAGGTAGTACCAGGTGCTGCACGGTGACCCGCGTCTCCCCGAGCTGCAGCAGCCTCTCCACAGTCGGGGCGCTGACGAAGGCCATGACTTCTGCCTGTTAGGGACACAACACTCTGTTATATTTCATCCGATTGTGTTATGTGTAATTTCATTCCCTTCAAGAGGACACACAACAGCTGTCCTGGGACTACAGATGGAAAACAGCCCTTATGCTGATTCTGGAATATTTATATGTTTAATGAATATTATGCACTGTCCCTTTAATAAATCAATAAAATAAAAATGTGTAACTCTCGGTGCTGCATATACTGTACTTATCCTTCATTCTTGCTCCTTCATTCTGCTACAGTTGGAGATTTTAGACTTGCTCCTTATTTTTCAGTCAGTGAAAAAATGTAAATGCTTCTTCAGTTGAAATGTATTCTGTAACTGACAACTTGACTGAAATAAATTACTATTACATTACTATTACTATTACTAGCTTCTAGGGTTAGATTATTATGCTGCAAGTCCTAAGTGTCTCTGAAACAGTTGTTTTGTGTTTTACGGTTGTTATTTTTCTTGCTTTTTTCTGCCTGAGATGTTGCTACAGTACAGTGTTCATGGTTTTACACTGGTCCAGACCAGAGCAGAGAGGATTCATGGTCCGAACCAAGTGGATCAAGAGAAAATCCACTGGAGGAATGCTAAATTTTTGAAAAATGCTAACAAAGCTTTTTTCTTTGGACCAGAGCAGAGAAAATGGTCTGAACCAAGCGGCTCCACCTGTGCTGCTGTGACCTGAGACTGTTGTTATTATTACTATTGCTAGCTTTGGATGGATGTGTTTTTGCTGCTAAAATCTGGAACAGTCTTCCTGAAGATGTGAGACAGGCCTCCTCTCTGACAATGTTTAAAACCAGGTTAAAGACAGTTCTGTTTAACTGTGCATACAACTGAGGGATTTTATATTTTTATCTTTCTTTTTAATGTTCTGTGATTATTTATGATTTTAATGCTTTCTTTCTGCACTTTGAATTGCCTTGTGTATGAATTGTGCTATATAAATAAACTTGCCTTGCCTTGCTACTGGACACCTTCATTTCTCCTTCAGGGATCAATAATATATCTATCTATAGTTATATTATGCTTAAACCAGAGATTATATACTAGCTTTTAAGACATTGTAGTTTATTCAGTATATAGTTATTAATAGTCATTTATCTTTAATCTTCATCTGGAGCAGAGTCTTACTGAGCAGGTGGGTTTGGTGGGACTGTCGTCAGTAATGAATCCATCCTCCTTCCCAGAGCCGGCTTCCTCACTGCTCTCGTTACTATCGTCACTCTCGTCGTCTTCCTCCTCTTCCTCCTCCTCCTCGTCTTCCTCCTCGTCATCGTCGTCTGGTTCGCCTTCATCGTCACTGTAAATCAGACATGTCATTTTGAGGCTAAGAGATCCGCTAACACTTCAGATTATCCCTCACTAAATAGCAGATAATCAAAGTGTTGTTAGCTTAGCCGTAGCACCAACTGGAAACCACTCCCCCCTCCCCTCCCTCTCCACCAAACCAAACATCCAGCATTTTCTTTTCTTTGTCACAACAGGGAGCGTGGGCGGGAAACGTGAAATTGGCATTTTCTGTTCAGCCATTTTAGGTTTTAGAAAATCCAAAAACTCAGGTGCACTCGTGAGAAACAGGAAGAGGGTGAAGGGGGTAAACGAATCCCATTGGTTCGTTGGAGATGAACGAATCCCATTGGTTTATTTTGATCAGTCCGCTCCAAAATATGTTTTATACATTTTTGGAGACCATACACATGATAACTTAACTACTTTTAGGGTTTAGGGACGTTTTCCCACAATATTTAAAAAATGCGTCTGGAAACAAAATCACTGACTGCATCTTTTGGAGTAATATACAAACTTTCTCTAAAATCACAGGAGGAAAACTCAGACCTTCACTATCTCTGAAGCTCTGAAAACAAATCGCTTTTTCTAATTCTTTTGTGTATCTGCCATAAAACTCTGGAGGTGTTGGAATGTTGTGTATTGTATAGTTTTTAGCTTGTATCGTATCCTGCAGCCTCACTGTGTGTTTGTGGAGGCTGTGTTCTGCTGCAAATGAAGTGGGATCAATGATGTTTTCTGAATCTGAGTTAGGTGTAGAATAAGGACTAATAAATGCATAATAAATACAAATCAAGAGCTAATTAACCACCAATTAGCACTTAAATAGCTGATAATTAGTGAGGGCTAAACTAAAGTGTGACCAGAGATTCTTTAATTGTTTCACACACAACACAAGATTAATGAATGTTAGTGCAGCACAATTTTTTATTTATTTATTTATTTGTTTCAATTGTGGACAAAAACAATACTACACATATTACAATTAAATTTCAAATAATTGTCGTCTTGTCGCACAAATGAAAAGGAGCAGAAAGATGAAAAAAAAAATCTTATGTTGCCTGCCCCTTTCTTCATACATGTACAAATTAAAATAAAATAAAAATAAAAAAAATAAAAAAATAAGATGGCTTTACTTTAAAAAACAAAATAAAACATCTACCTTTAGCTTAATGAGGAAACAAAGATACATAAACCTGTATACTCAAGTGCAAATAAATACTTGTAATGTATATTCTGAGTATTAAAAGTGAGATGATAGTTTTCATACCTCAGAGATGAGAGCAAGTCTCCTCTGTCTCTTTGATCCATGGCGTCTCTCAAAGCGTCGCAGCCGTCTTCGCCCAAACAGTTTCCTGGAAAAGTCAGAGTTTGTCCTGTTGGTTCATCTTCTTATAAAAGCATAAACTATAAAGATTTAGGTTTACTTTTGAATGCACAGGAAACGGCAGCAAGTGGTTTTGTGTTTTACAATCATCATTTTTGTTCTTGCTTTTGTCTATCTGTAAAAGTTGCTGCAGTAAAGTGTTCATGGTTTTGATCCAGACCAGAGCAGAGAGGACGGTCCCACCCAAGAGGATCAAGCAGAAATGTTTAATGCGAATAAAGAATTTCCCTCTGAACCAGAGCAGAGAAAATGGTCTGAACCAGAGCAGAGAAAATGGTCTGAACCAAAGAGACTCTGCAAACATCAACCAGAGGAAGCAGCTCATCACCACCTGCTGCAGGGACGCTTTTTTACTATGGTTGGAAACTTCTAGAATTATGCATTTATTAGGGACCTTCAGTTTCCAGTGCAGGAGATATATATTTAAAAAAAAAAAAAAAAAAATTGGAGAATGTTTTATTATGGTGTGATCAATTTAATATTTTTGTTTTTGTATCTATATAACTGACTATGTGTTTGGTTATGATGTTAAAATAGTACTTGGAAGTACATTAGATTCAGACGCTGAAAGAGCGGGTGGGAATCAAAAGTGTTCTAGGGACGCTGCAAATTAGCCTTGGCTTTAAATGTTGTAGTGTTTCACATGTTGATTGTGTAACACTTCCAAACACACAATCAACACTTGTCCCCATCAAATAAAATAAATACAACTTCATTCCACTCCTTTTCAAGTACTGTTAGCAATTCATTTTCGATGTTTTACTATCAGTTTTTTGTAGCTGTTGTTGTATATTATGTATACTTTTTCATTTTGTGTGTTTAAAAAAAAAATAACTCAAAAAAAATGTTAAAAGTGTTTCTGCAGCCGGACACCTGCATTTCTCTGACAGGGATCAACAAAGTAATAATCGATACATTTCAGGACATATATACATTTACCATTGAGATCCAGTTTCTCCATGTGAGATTTTCCGGCACTTGCTTGAGCCACCACAAGAGCTGCTGCTTCTGTGATTTCCCCAAAAGACAAGTTCAACTCCTAAACACAAGAAAGGGAACTGGTTTGGATCAAAATGCAGCGGCACATATGGTCTAATAGAGTAAGACAGTAGCTTTGAGGAGCATACGGTGAGGATGGGCAGCCCGCCTCGGAGCACCGCGGCGAGGGCGATGGCTCCTTCAGAACGGACCAAACAGTCGCCAAAGTTGATCACTTGAACGTTCCTCAGATGCTTCAGGGCCTAACACGGGCAAATGGTAAAAACAAAATGACTTCAAAAGGAGACATTAGGCAAAAACATTGTTCCCTCATCAATCCTTATTGATTTGCTTTGTGAAAAAATGCCATTTTTTTCTTTGCTGGATTTTCATAGATGTAGGAAACTTTTTTTTTTATTTAAGGATAAGATTTCAGTTTTGCATCACAAGATATTGAGCAGTAGGAAAGAGGAAGTTAAGTGAACAATAGCTATACTAATTAAAATGAATAATAAAAATGCAATTCCTATTATTTGTTTGAATTCTCGGCCTTTACAAAATGGTTGCGATGCAGTTTGATGGTAAAAGTGTCTAAAACCAAGCCCTAGAGGTAATTCCGAGCTTAAAGCAGACTCAAAAGGTGTCGAGAAAACCGTGTAATTAATCAACAGATGAACATTTTTGCTCTTCCAAACTTTGTGACTTTTTCTGTACCTATGTGTAGTTTATTTCTGCCATTGTTTTTATGAAATGTTCTTTTACTTTTGAAATGAAAGATCTACCGTTACCTAAAGAGTAAAGTCAGTGCCAGTACCTCTAGTTACCATAGCAACATAATGTTTCCCAGCTAATGTTAGCATATGTTAGCAACAAACTGCTTTTTGTTGTATTTGAAGTTATGTTCATCAGTTTTAGCACTTAGTAAAAGGTGAGTAAATGTAAACTAAAATAAAATATAAATGAAATAAAATGACGGCTCTGGGAGTGCCTACACGTAACTGTTAAACTTAACAGAAGAAAAATAAGAAGCTAAAGTGTCTCTGAGTGTCCAAAAATGCACTATTTAAGTACGAAGTATTATTATTAGTTCTAGTATTTTCATAATTTTGGGAGTTTTAGTGTTAACGCGGTGTAATAAACCTAAGAAAAAGCCTCGTCAAAGCCGACCTGGGCCATAGCTAGCGTCCCTCTCTTGGTGAACGTGTTGTCGTTGAAGTTGAGGACGCGCAGCTCCGGGTTGTGTCTCACGGCTGAAGCCAACGCCGTCACGCCGGTGTAGTTGATGCCATTCTGAGGCATGTGGATCTCCTCCAGGCTGCCCATCAGCTGGGAGAGAAACAGTGCTTTGTCAACAAGGATCACATGAAAGCAACACAAGGTTCTGCTTTTGCAAGTTTTACGATTAGTCTGTGATATATTACGATCATATTATTCAAAGACATTTTAAATGTGTTATTACAAACATGGAGGAAAACAAGACTCAAGTCAAATGTCACATTTATTATGGTCTGCGCATTAACTTAAGTGCAAACAATTAGGAGAAATGGTTTGGTTTCAGCATTAAATTAAAAAAATCATACCCTGATCGGGACCACTCGTGGCCATTTTGGATAGCTCCAGTAGAGCAAATATTTTGGCCCATTTGTTTGAACAGCGGAGATAGGCGTGACTACGTCCGTTAATGTTTACAGTCTATAGAGACTACCATGTGTCATGTGATGTACCATGTGTCATGTGTACCTTGAACGCCTTGGCTAAAGCGCAGGCTCCTTCATTTTCCAAGCGGTTTCTTCCTGCGATGAACACTTTAAGTTTCAGTGGTGATCCCAGAGCTGAGGACTCTCTGTGGCCCTCCATCAGTGCATCCGCCAAAATCTACAAAAGAATCCGGATCAGTCTGTCATTAATTGATACCAACAATATTAATGCGGTAGTGTAAGTTCTAAATCCTAATCACATTTAAAACGATCGGCTACAAAATAAACACAATAAAAACATTGGCACGTCAATAAAAATGACAGAATGTTGGGCTCACATATTTTTGGCTGCAGAATTATCAATGTGTTTGGTATGAGCGCGTTCTACATGGTCTGGTTTAAATGGATCACGCCCAGGTAAAATGACAGAACAATCAAGATTCATTCAATATGTTTCTCATCTCTCCCTCTTCCAAATATTAACCCTCCCAAAACGTTTGAACGACAGGAAAAATATATTTGGGAATATTGTGAAAATTATCATATAGGGTAGTAATATACAAACCTGACTTTTTTGAGAGAGAGACTTTCAGAGGGAATGCAATCTGTGATGTTGTAGATTTGCAACATTGGCCCACTGTGTTAAATAGAGCTGACCCGGGGAAATACCCAGAGGAGGTATAATTTACTAATCTTCATAACTATTCATCCTTCATTTTATGCAGTTTTGGTTTCAAATTATTAGACGTTAGTAGTAATACTGACTTGAAATTTATGTCTAAAGAGACTGACATTTTGGAAGTGAGACAACTCTGCCCCGACGTGAGAAAGTAGAAAACTGTGTGTTGCTAAAGCTCAACTAAGTCAGCAGTAGTACAGTATTTCAGAGTAAAAAAATTGTAAAAAATAATGGATATGGAGTAGTTAGCTAATAAGAAATGACGTTGTTGCAAATCTGCAACGCCTGGCTGGAGAAGGTTGAATCAAATAACAATATTAAGTGTACAGTCACCTTTCCTCCTCCTATCCCCATGCCACAGTTGTTGAGTCGAAGCTCTCTCAGAGTGTAACAGGTCGGACTCTTCAGCAGCTGCTCGATGCCCTTCACTCCGTCTGGACCAAAGGCATTATCGCTGAGGTCCAGTTCAGTGAGACGAGCCCCTGCACACATCAGAGCACTGCCCAAAGAGCGCTGGGATACAAGAACACAGAGGGTTTAGGTTTGAAATAACGTTGATTGCAGTAAACAATTGTCAGTGTGAAGATCATTAAATTGCTGTGTTTAGACTGATGACAGCGTGTGGAAAGAAGCTGTTAGCATATCCAGATGTCCTTTATCAATAAGAGATCTTCTGCCAGAGGGAAGAAGCTGGAACATGGCTTTTCCAGAAGCGTCATTCATTATTCTAAAATCTCAGTTTGGATTCATAAAGAACCTCCAGAACAGGCAGCTCAGTTCTCTTCCAGAGCAGAACACCTCGTCTCGCCCGCTCGTCTCTCACCCTTTTTCCCCATCTCTCTCTCTCCTTGTTTATAGTTAAACTTTCTCTAGCTGTGATGTTGCGGAACCACACAGTCACAGAACCAACCACCAAACTTTCAAGGCTGCAGTGATTAAAGTTAAGCAGAATCTTAGAGGTGAGTGAGTTCGAAGTCAATTCTCCAAGTTCCGCATAAAGGAAAGACGCTGACGAGCTTTTCTTAACAACCTGATTAGTGTTTTTCCCATTTCAGGTCATTAGACAGAGTTAAACCCAAAAACTTTTACTCCTCTACTATCTGAATTTAGGAGATGCGGGAACTGTTAATGTTTCTTGCGTTTAGCTAGCATGTGTCAGTTCCTACCAGAGCAGTTGGGATTTCCGAACGCAATCTCCCAGTAAACATATCGCTCCAGTAGCATCTCTGCAGAGAAGACAAAAAAAACACACATGAACATTAATTTTATTAGACGTTTTATGATCGATTATACTTCAAAAGAGACAGACCTGTAGATGTCCTTTTCTCTCCAACGCTTTAGCGATAGCTCGGGCCGCCTCCACTCCCAGAGTATTTCCTTCCAGCCGAAAAGCTCTTAGATCTTGGCATTGCTCAATTTCTCTAACTAGATCTTGGACTGAAATCACAGATGAAACAGAACATCTCATTATAGATGTACACAGAAGGTACAATGGGACTGCTGACTCGGTACATGTCATTCATTTGTGCGACTGTAGAATGGAACTGCTGAGTTTCTATGTTGATACGACATTCTTCTGGAATATCAACCTGCGGTAATTGTAATCCTGTGCATTATGCTGTGGGATCAGACCTGCAAAGTTTGTACTGCGGCCCCGGTTATATCTGCATTACTGCAAAAAAATGTATCTGAAGAACCAAACGCATTTGCTCTCACCCACATTGTTACTACAGTTTCTATCTGCGTCATTAATATCTCTAGTGATGACTTCTTCTGTTCTTATTCTTATGCATTTCGAGACAAATTGTATAAAAAGCCTGGTCTTCTTTTGTTCGATCTGGAGGGACTCGAAAATAGACAGGGTTACAGGTGCGACCACTGCTGCTAATTAAGTGCACATTAGAGTTCCCTAACCCTAGTTCTAATTGGAAAGTGTTAATTAGTAGTTAGTTAGATGGTGAAAAAGGCCATGGAGAATACGGATGACCAAGTGATTAATAAATACCAATTTAGAACAAATTAACCATAAATTATACACAAATTCTATTTTTGTAAGCAAGGGACCAATGCACTATTTCCTTTTGGATCAATAAAGTATATATATATATATATATATATATATATATATATATATATATATATATATATATATATATATATATATATATCTATCTATCTATCTATCTATCTATCTATATGGCACTTAATTAGCTGTTTAGTGAGGGCTAATCAAAAACTGTGACAAAGTTGAATGAATATGAAAGAATGAATAATTTTTAAGCATGAGCATGACACAATAACAAAAAATAAATTTGGGTTTACAATGAAGTAATGCTCTTTGCTTGAAAGGGAGTGAGAAGAAGTAAAATACTTGTTTACTCCCACCCCCATCATTTTTACAAGGCTTATGCCGCGTTCAGACCGCAAACGCTCAAACGCTGAAGCCCCGCTCACCAGACGCGCATTCTTTAGTTTTCAGACGCAGGGGTCTTCACACCAGAACGTCCTGACCAGCGCTGGAAGTGCCGGAAGTAGCCGGCCGGCTCTGATGCTAACAGAGTTATGCTAGCGGCTTCTCATGTAAAGATCTTCTCCAATAATGCAGCTTGGCAGGGTCTCTGTGCCCAGAGACCTTCCACGGACTTTATACAACAGTAGTATGTGTTCATGGAGGTGCGCAATACGTTTATTTTATTATTAAACGTGCTTCCGCATCAGCGAACACACTCGAAGCAGTTGCATAAAGTCACGGGAGCATGACAACGCATATATTCACAAGCACACAGTCCCCCATTGTCAACCCTGGTTTAGTCCTGGTTTAGTCCTGGTGTAGCTCCTGTTTTGGCTGTTAACAGTATGTTCAGTCTGCTCGCTCAGACCACCAATGTCCCCGTGACCACTTTGCAGCTCTCTGATTGGTTGCTGCACGGACGTCCCGAGGAAAGGTTGAGCAGAGTTTATCTCCTGTGGGCGTTAATTTTCCGCTCCTGCTCCTCCCCTTTGACTTTCCCGCGCAGTCCCAGTGTCGCACCTGATTCTGCAGAGTCCAGCTTCAGCCCCAGGCCTTTGTAGCTCAGCTCTCCATCACCAACATGAGTCTTGGAGAGAGCGTCTGCCAGCTGCGCGATGTTGTCGGAGGCCATTCTGTCTGTGAGAAAACGGTTTCATTTCAATAAGTTTAGGGTAGTTTTCGCATTTGTATTAAGACTGCTGTGCTGCCTACTGAGAAGGCCAGGCAGTATTGCTTGGGTCGGTCAATGAAAGACACCACCACATGATACTTTTCTCTGGAATTTCTAGCTCTAAAGCAACATTTTCCATGGCCCCAGAAATGATTTTAAATCACTATATTCAGTTGCAGCATTGATGGTAATAGACTACAATGGCATGACCTACCTCTTTTTAAATCTATCCAGAAATATTAAGCAAACATTCAATTAGAAGTTATATTGTTAAAAGATACTTTTTTTTTTTGTATTGCCATGAGTCTTCAATTACATCCATTTCTTACCATTTGGTGCAGTTTTGGCTTAAACCACATGAACCTAGCTAATTTTGTTCAGAAAGGTCTTACAGAAAAGAATACCCAATCTAATGTGAAACAAGTATTCATCCATCCATTTACTTTCCCTTAACCCTTAAGTAATTTATGAAAAATACCTCGTGTATTGTAAAACAAAACTATAACACTATTTTCTAAAATTAAAAATGTTGTGCAGGACTCCCTTGAAAAAGAGGCTCTTAATCTCATTGGGACTTCACTGGTAAAAGGAAAAAATAAAATAACACTGCTTTTGCCCCCAACCAAGTCTTTTATTCAGCCCTCAACAAAAAAATAGTTCGACCCTCCTGCACTGAAAGGTGTAAATAACAATTAAACTTTTGAAATCCTTTAGTTTCTATTGTAGAAACGACAAAAGATTGTTTTGCAAATACAGAATGAAACAATCTCAAACTCTAACGGAAGTAATATGACTCTATGGACCCGAAGGCTGGTATTCCTTGGCTCAGTCTTTAAAAGTACTATAATCATAGTTGACAGAATCCGAAACTGTAGGCTATTTACTTGTAGCTAAATTAGCATTACGCATTAGCATTAGCATTAGCATTAGCATTACGCATTAGCATTACGCATTAGCATTACGCATTAGCATTACGCATTAGCATTACGCATTAGCATTCCCAGCAGTGATGCTAGCAGCAGGTGGATGCCTTCGCTCTAACTTTACCCATTGAATACTTTGTTCTAAACACGTCACGTCCTAAGAGAGCAGCGTGGACAGACAGTGAAGTGTAAACATGACTTTTGTGTTGTATCCCAGCTGTAGTTACCTCAGAGGAGAGATCCAGGAGAGACACCGGTAAACGTGTGTTTGTGTGTCCGGGAGCAGCGTGCCGCCTCCCGGGCGCGTCATGCAGCCTCCTCTTCTTCCCCTGTGAGGGTTAGGGACTGAGAGAAAACAGTGTATCGCCATCTTCTGGGACACAAGAAAACAGACACACACTATTTGAATCCATCCGGCTTCTGCTTTATCCCTTGCCGGGGGACAGTTGTTCAAGTTCAGCGGCACGGGTGCGCTCACAAAACGACACATACTAGGCCGGGAGCCTGTTGCTATGTTTTTATTAAACTATTATTTATAAATCTATAAATTTCCCCCAACATTTAAAAAGGACACAAAAATTCTCCACCTTTCCACCAGACAAATTGACATCTTAAGAGATTTTTAAGAATGTAATTGTACATATCATTCCTAAAATGTAATTTAAAAACTGCCCAGTTTTCCTACCCCAATTTACGACCAAGATCACCTTTCTATCTCGAAGAATTCAGATTCTATGACCAAAGTCCTGTTCTAAACCTTCGAGCAGGTTTCTTACGTTTTCAATCATAAAAGTTTAGACTTGGCTTATACAGATTGATTATATCTAGTCAATGAACTGAAAAGCCAGTAATATTAAGGCCCAAATGTTCATAATATACAATAACAGGCATAAACATGAGGAAGATGCGTGTTACTGACACTGCAAAATACACACACTGCAAAAGACCAGAGAGAAAGACCAGGGAGAGGTCAGAGAGACCAGACAGAGAGACCATGAGAGACCACCAGATAAAGAGAGAAGAGAGAGAGAGAAAGAGAGAGAGAGAAAAAGACTATGAGATCAGAGAGAAACTAAGTAAGTAAGTAAAGTTTATTTGTATAGTGCCCCCGCCTTTCACAGACCAGGATCACAAAGCGCTACACATTTAAAACACATACAAGTCAGATTTAAATACAAAGACATAGAAGTCTGTCCTCATCATGAACACAGTGCAGAGGTCTATGTTTACGATGGGATGAGAAAGCCTGTCTAAACAAATATGTCTTAAGTTGGGACTTGAAATCAAGAACAGACTGCATGCGCAGAGACCGGGAAAAGTTCATTCCAAAGGTGAATAGCAACTGCCTGGAGGGATCTGTCTGCTCGGGTTTTAAAACGAGTAGACTAGAGAGACCAGAAAGAGACTGAAGAGACCAAAGAAAGAGAGAGACCAGATAGAGCTCCGAGAGAGACCAGAGATGGACCACAGAGAGACCAAGTGGTGGGCCGCATTAGGCCCGCGGGCCTTGTGTTTGACACCTGCACGATAGACTGCAAATAAATGGAGATTATGTGGAAATATGCTGCACAGTGCTGAAGACACTGCGCCCCCTTGTGGCTTCGGGCTGTCACGTCCGCTGACTTGTTGCCATCATCATGTGGAGGATGTACCTTCCCTTGCATTAGCATCGTGAGCACAACAGCTAACGGGCCAAAGAGCCACAGACAGCCCGCCCTACTCCGCTCTCACGTCCATGACAGCAGCACCACACCCCGGCTTCGTACATGGAGTCCGGCCGACCCGAGCTCTAGCGCCGTGGTTCATGTGATCGGCCCTGGAGAGGTGTGTGCTGCAGAAAGTGCCTGAAGCCGACGCTAACAAGCTATCGGTGAGTTCTGAAGCTAACGAGGGCTGTTCAAAGGGCACATTCATATGCTTTAAACATGTCCATTATTATGATCCTGGCCTCCCATGACATGATAGTTTAAACATGTGATAATAACATGCATCAGTGTGGTCGTCTTCTACTCCAGACTAACTTACACACACACCCCAGACACATAAGCTAAAGTTCGGCTAACACTGTTAGCATTCTGCGCTGACCACGGAACCCTGCGTTTCCCCATAAACGGATGACGTTCATGTTCATAACATTGGATAAATGTAAATATCTGCCTTCATGGGGAGTATATGTGGTTAATTATATTAGCTTTGTTTGTATTGACACCACACACACACACATGGTCTGGTGGATGAAAAATCTTAGATGAACTAAAACTAGTTTGAATGTATCCTATATTATTATAGTATTGAATTAGTGAAAATGTTAAAGTAAAAATTCTTATTCGTTTATGTTGCAGAATGTCTAATAAAGTCTGTAAATAATTAGAATAATGGGTGAATTGAGGTATTTTGCACTACCAATAATTACAGATTCTTTTAAGGGAGATTAAAAACATAAAAGTGTGACTTATGCTTCTTCAAATTAAAAGAAAAATGTTATAATCTCAGAGATGTATTTATTTTTGAATATATTAAAGAATTAACTTTATTAACAGAAGGAAAACAAATTTGCTTCCGTGTTACAATTCAAACTTTATCTTAAAGTTATATAGGAGGATTTTCCCAAATTTTAGGAAAAAAACGCCCTCTGCACTTTTTGAACTAAACTCTCTGGTCTTATTTGACGAGCACGTAACACCGTAATGACAATTGAAAGGACCAATAGTCTTTATGATCCACCTGGAAGTAGAAAGTCCTCCTTTGTCTTTTAAGTTTCATATATTTAAAGCGACTTTGTTTTTGTATCTGTTAAATAAATATGTTGTCTAATATCTGTCTGATATCACTAAATGACTGAGGAATTTTATTAAATCCTCATTTGTATAATTGTCTAACTTGCATTTGTGTCACATACTATGCTTCAAAAACAGAAAGATAAATTATCGCTAGAAAATAATGTTATGATAAAGACATTTTATCTCCGCAACGAAGGACACCACCAAGACACACTTTATCTGAGATTCCTCGCCCTTCACTAAAGTATAAAGTGTAAACTTGATATAATTTACTGTTGTGCGAATGTATAATTCATAGAAATATTATTGCGGTGCAACTAAACAGGTCGTATAAAAATCACAGTTGAAACGACACTAGTTTCATAGTCCATAAAATAGCATTTATACCCAAGTAAAAACTTTGCAAATCTCAATGAATATTACGAGAATACTTTAAGATAAGATAAACTTTTATTTGTCCCTCAGTGAAAATCTCAATGTCACCGTTGCGCTTGTTACAGCAGAATATGAGAAATAAGAGTCAGGTCAGGTTATGCCCACATCAAACATATTTTATTTAAGATAATGGATAATACAATAATAAGATAACACAACTCTGGAGCTATAAATGCAAATAAGGATTAATGTATTTGTAGCAGGCTCACTCCAAACTAAACTGTATCGATGTGTTACATTTTTGTCAATGACACAAAAAAGTTGTGTAATGTCCGCGGCCGTTTGCACTGAATGTCCACAGACTCTTGTTTGTCCAGTGGGGCACTACTTAAACACAGATTCGTTCATCCCCGTATTATTAACGGCGCTCTAAGACGCTGTTTTGTACGTAACAAAAGTGGACACGATTGTTACGTCCAAAACGCCGAGTTTGTTTGCAGTTATTTTTTTTATTTTTTTTTTGCATAGTGTAAAATCTATAATTAAATAATGATTTATAGTTTTATCTCTCTGTCCTGTTCATTCTTCCATTCACAAAGCCTCCAACGTCACATGTCCTAAATGTAACAATTGTGTCCCCAAAGTTCAATACATTTTAAATAAATAAATATAGCAGCTACTCATAATGTATATTGTGTTTCTCTTACTACAGTCCTGAATGTGCGCTGCAACACTGAAATTTCCCCACTGTGGGACGATTAAAAGTTCTCTTATTTGATCTTAATTTCAACAGATCTTGATGCATTCCTAGTTATGATTTAAGTTCAGTATCTCTCTGTGTGTGTATGGTGTTTTTTATTTGTATGTTTTACAGTGATCTTGCTTCTCCTCTCAGCAGAACATGGATCCTGATCGGCAGAAACGAAGAGAAGAAATCCAGAAGGCGATGAGCTTCATACAGTAAGAGAAGAAAACACTGTACTTTCATTGTGTCGTTGTCTTTGGCTCTGATCGCAGCTTTGGCTCTTCCCGCCAGGTCCTCGTTACCTTTCCCTGAACCAGAAAACTACGAGGTGTGTATGTGTTTTTACAAATATATCTAAATATTTATGTGTTTGTGTTTCTGCGATCAGTCAAACGGAGCCGATCAGACACATCTTTTCCGATTGGCCCCGGACTGACATCTACATGGAATAGAATAAAACTGTAGTTGGACCAATAGAGCACAAAATTAATATTATATATGAATATATGAATATAGCACAGAATGTATTTTATATTATTGATGTGAAAATATGAAAGTAAAAAGCTTTGTTTGTTTATGTTGTAAAATGTCTATGAAGGCTGTAAAGAATGATATTAGAACAGTGAGTGAAGTGGGAAACCTTGCATCTACCAATAATAGTAGTAGTAGTAGTAGTATTATTAGTATTATTATTATTAGTTTCTTGTAGTAGTGGTAGTAGTAGTATTAGTAGTAGTGGTAGTAGTAGTATTAGTAGTGGTAGTAGGAGTAGGAGTAGTGGTAGTAGTAGTAGTAGTAGTAGGAGTAGTAGTAGTAGTATTAGTAGTAGTAGTAGTATTAGTAGTAATAGTAGTGGTAGTAGTAGTATTAGTAGTAATAGTATTGGTAGTAGTAGTAGTAGTAGTATTAGTAGTGGTAGTAGTAATATTAGTAGTAATTGTAGTGGTAGTAGTAGTATTAGTAGTAATATCATTGGTAGTAGTAGTATTAGTAGTGGTAGTAGTAGTATTAGTAGTAATAGTAGTGGTAGTAGTAGTAGTAGTAGTATTAATAGTGGTAGTAGTAGTAGTAGTAGTAGTAATAGTAGTGGTAGTAGTATTAGGAGTAGTGGTAGTAAAAAAGTTTTTATGTATTGAATAGGGATGTAAATCGGCGACCGTTTAACCGGTGGTTGACCGTCACAGAGTTAACCGGTCAAAGCTGTCGGTTAAAAAAGAGAAAAGGGGGAGAGGGGAGGTCTCTTAACAGCGCTATTTTAAGCCCTATTTGCACGATGTGACGAGCGGGTCCCTATCTAGCTGTGTGCGCCAATGTATCAGTAAACTCTGGGCCGACTCTCACGCCGTACGCGCCACATATGCACGCACACATGTACACGCACACACACACACACATCCCCCCTCCATTGACACGTAACATCCACACGCATCATCTCTCCCCTGTGTTACCGTCTGCTAGTTGCACACTGGTGCGGGTCAGAACTACATTGGAGCTTATATTTACACACACACACATACATACATACATACCTGTATTGTACACACACACATAGCTTACATATACACACACACAGACATATACACACACATACATACATGTATTGTACACACACACATACCGGTCTGTCGCGCTCCTCTGTGTCACGGAGCCCAAAGCATTCTTGCAAATACACGGCTCCAGTCAAACCACATGGACCATGTTTTGTGCTGCTGGTCCCTGGCATCAGATCCACACTGATCACTTTTAAACTTTAGCGGAGACCTGCGAGACGCGGCTCGTCACTCGCTGCCCTGACCATGTGGACGAGCTGTCTTTTGCTTAAAAATGCTTTAAGCCGCAGCACAGAATAATGGGAAGATTAAAACAGCAGTTCTCTGTGCGCAAAGGTGCCCAAGCTGTTGCGGGTTTTGGTGCCGCTGTCTCGGCTCTGATCCATTAGAATGCTCAGCTGCACATATGAAAAGTACGCAGCTCGAAAAGGCTGTTATTTCAAAGAACGTGGACTATTTTAAACTACGCGGTTAACCGGTTTCAACCGGTTAATGAGGCTCGGTGGTCGGTCATGAAAATTCATAGTTTTTTACATCCCTAGTATCGAATGTGATATTACAAAAGTTAAAATGTTAAATTCTTTTACAGGTAATAAAAACAAAGTGTGACTCAGATTAAGAGTAAACTTTGATTTTCTCAGTGATGTATTTATTTATGAATGAACTGATGTGAAATCAAGGTGTGTTTCTGTCCTTGGATTTTGGTTTTGGATTAAAAAATTATCGGAAGATTTGAAAAAAAGTACTTCTTTGTTACTGTTCAAATCTTAAGTTTCAATATATAAATTGTACGTTTTGTGTGTCTGTTATAAATGTTATACAATAAATATAAAGCTTAAACAATGGTGTAGAATTGCTTAGGCTCCATAAAGCACGGTTTCTGCCCACTTTATTATCTTATTTTATCTATTATCTTATAGTTAGGAGGATTTTCCCAATTGTTCGGAAAGAACCGCCCTCTCCACTTTTCAAACAAAACTTTGGTCTTATTGGACGAGCACAAATCACCAGAATGATTGACAATTAGGAGGACCAATAGTCTTCATGATCCACCCGGAAGTAGAAAATCCTCCTGTATACCTTTTAAGTTATAGATAATGTTTGATTTGTGCGTTTCCTTTTATTCTGCTGTAATGTGCAACGATGATTGATTTAAAATGTCAGTCAGAGTTAAGGTTTATCTTTGTCTTATTCCATTTTTGTTTGCAATTGATTTGATTACACTGTCTTAACTGTAACTTTGTTTGTGATGACTAAAATAAAACAATCAATCCATATTTAAATACAAATATTATTTATAACCGGTATCGACCTGAAATCCTGACCACTCCTCTATTCTTGAACCTTCATATTTCTGTAGTTGGTAGAATGTGTTTGATTGGACTCAGGCCTGTCCTTGTTTGCTGCAGGCGTTCCTGACCCAGCTGGTCTGTAATTTACTGGACGAGGGAAACGCGTGCTTTCGTGACGGGGACTGTCGCCAGGCCTCGCAGCAGTACGGGGAGGGCATCAGTGTGTCCCGCTATGCCCACACTGAGGCACTGATCATCCCCCATGAACTCCTGGAGGGGCTGTATGTGAACAGAGCAGCAGCCTTTTACCAAACCGTGAGTCACATGGTTTTATTGTTTTGACTTGTTTTTGTGGAGAAAATCAACTGTTTGTTTTCCTGCAGAGGGAGTTTGAGCGCGGTGTTCAGGACTGCGACAGTGCTCTGTGTGTGTCTGATGGAAGCCGCAGGGCTCTGTACCGGAAGGCCCTCTGTCTGCGAGAGTTAGGACAATTGAGAGACGCCTATGAATGTGGAACCAAATGTCTTCTCACTGCTCCACATGTATACCAACATTGAAATTCTTTCCTTTTGTAAACGTTCATCTAGAGTGATTTATTGTCATGTTTCCTCCTCTAGGACAGACAAGTAAGTGACTTGGCCCAGGATTTAGCGACTAAATTGGGATTGAAAGGACGTAAAGCGTATGTTAGTCCTCAAACAGAGTCTACTCCATCAGATGGAGATGCGTCTCAGCCCACGGGAGAGGTGGGTGTTCTCTGCACATTACTGGCTTTAACAACAAAAGATCAGATTGATTAAAAATGCCTGTGAAAACTTAATTTGTCTTCATTTAAAATCATTCTAGATGTCAGCGAATGGTCTTGAATCTCTGGGAGATATTGGATCAGGTACAGAATGATTGGAATGTTCATCTTTGAAATGGTCCACATTGATGATGATGAGTTTCCCTCTCAGCAGACCTGTCCAGTGCACAGTGCATCCCCGCACCTTTAGCCACTCCTATCCCAGTCAGCGACGAGCCGGGCCCTGTGGTCACCTGCACCGAGCTGTCAGAGAGCAACAGTCAGAGTCTGGCGCCCATGCAGTACTCTGTGCCTGTGTCCGAGCACACGGACGAGTGCAGCAACAGCATCACTGAGAAGCTGGACGGCCTTTTGGACTGTATGCCCAAGAAAGTCAGTGAGGTGAGAACGATCACATTCTGCGTCAGTGCACATGGAGCTGAAGGTTCTGTAACATCTGTTTCAGAATCCTGTCCAAGGTGCAATTCCTACCAACCTTCCCAACACCGCAGTGGGCCTCCGTCCTCCGTACTCCCCCGGCCTCTCCTCGCCCTCGCAGCAGCTGCCCTCCGCCTTTTTCGGCTCCTCCATCAGCGACGTGCAGCCGCTGGAGCCTTACTCGCCTCTGGGACAGAGAGACCAGAGCTCAGCCCAGGTGCAGGACGCTTTGGGTCCTTTCTCCACCACTGCCACGGATGGAGAAGGCAATAATGTTGGTTTGGATTCGCTCTCTGAATACACTCTCCCTGGTGAGTTTTCAGTAGTTTGTTGTTCAGTAGATCTCTTTGGTCGTGTTAAAACTGTGCTCTACAGGAGGACGAGTGTGTCCAAGCTTTATTCACGGCCTACGAAACCACAGCTCTGCACATGCTGTGAGTGAGACTGTATCCATAAATGTTGTTTTGAAGCTACATATAATAACTATCTGACTCTACCTTCTTTTTGCTTTGACCCCTGAAGAATGGAGGAGGAACCAACCTGTCCCTTCTCTCCAGAAATCCTCTGGCCGCCACACACGAGTTCCGACAAGCCTGCCACGCGTGTTACAGTCGAATAGGTTTGTTAGAATATTGTGTTTGAGTATTCTGCTTGTAAGCTTAGTCACTGACTTTAATTTAGGACCACGTGTGATGGACTACAAATATCAGCCTGAGGCCGCGCACCGCTGTAAGAGGGACGTGCTGCTGTGTCGCCTCCGGAACGCAGAGGACCCCATGTGGAAGCGGATCCGACCTCGACCTGCACGCAACAACTTCCTCGGTGCATTCGTTCTTTGTAAAGGTAGAGTCATGGGGCGTGTGGGTCTGTTGTCTGGGAGCATTTGAACGCAGGAGATTATTGTTGCATGAAGTCACTGTCCTGACCCAAACCCAAACTGCTCCGAAGCGGTTGGCCTGTGAGCTGTAGGATGGACAGATTGGATACTAGTTTAAGGAAGTCTTTTAATCTGTGGATTGACAGGGTTTGGACAGCATTATTTATATACATTTTTACGAGTACCAGGGATGGGTTGGAAGAGGTATCTTCACTAATGTCCTTTTGGAGATCCAAGTCGACTTGCCTCCAGCTTCAGCACACGTCTCCTTTGGCTCGGTGCCTGTTGATGAAAGTCCATGTTTGCTCTGCGGTTCGTTACTGGTAGACGCCATCTTTTTTTGAATTACTTAAGGTCTGTATTTGACCTTAAATTCATAAAACACATAAATAAAATAAAATACATCCTTACAGTCCATCAGCAATGCAACTCTGAAATGTGCTTTGTCATGACCCTGTCAAGTCTGGTGCTCTAATCCTTCAGTCTGTGCTCTCTCATCCTTCAGTCTGTGCCCTCTCGTCCTTCAGTCTGTGCCCTCTCGTCCTTCAGTCTGTGCCCTCTCGTCCTTCAGTCTGTGCTCTCTCGTCCTTCAGTCTGTGCCCTCTCGTCCTCCAGTCTGTGCTCTCTCATCCTTCAGTCTGTGCTCTCTCATCCTTCAGTCTGTGCCCTCTCGTCCTTCAGTCTGTGCTCTCTTCGTCCTTCAGTCTGTGCTCTCTCGTCCTTCAGTCTGTGCTCTCTCGTCCTTCAGTCTGTGCTCTCTCGTCCTTCAGTCTGTGTTCTCTCGTCCTTCAGTCTGTGCCCTCTCGTCCTTCAGTCTGTGCTCTCTCGTCCTTCAGTCTGTGCCCTCTCGTCCTCCAGTCTGTGCTCTCTCATCCTTCAGTCTGTGCCCTCTCGTCCTTCAGTCTGTGCCCTCTCGTCCTTCAGTCTGTGCTCTCTCGTCCTTCAGTCTGTGCTCTCTCGTCCTTCAGTCTGTGCCCTCTCGTCCTCCAGTCTGTGCTCTCTCGTCCTTCAGTCTGTGCCCTCTCGTCCTTCAGTCTGTGCCCTCTCGTCCTTCAGTCTGTGCTCTCTCGTCCTTCAGTCTGTGCTCTCTCGTCCTCCAGTCTGTGCCCTCTCGTCCTTCAGTCTGTGCCCCTTCAGTCTGTGCCCTCTCGTCCTTCAGTCTGTGCCCTGTCGTCCTTCAGTCTGTGCCCTCTCGTCCTCCAGTCTCTGCTCTCTCGTCCTCCAGTCTCTGCTCTCTCGTCCTTCAGTCTGTGCTCTCTCGTCCTTCAGTCTTTGCTCTCTCGTCCTCCAGTCTCTGCTCTCTCGTCCTTCGGTCTTCTCTCTGTTGTGTGTAGTTCAGTTTGACCCTGTGCTCAGCTGAATGTGCCACTGTGGTCCGCAGAGGTGCAGGAGCGACAGGAGTGCCAGTACGGGGAGAACTGCACCTTCGCCTACTGTCAGGAGGAGATCGATGTGTGGACGCAGGAGAGGAAGGGCGCGCTGAGCAGAGAGCTTCTGTTCGACCCTCTGGGCAGCACCGAGCGGCGGGCCCTCAGTGTGACCCGCCTCCTGCAGCTGCACATGGGCATGTTCATGTTCCTCTGTGAGGTACGGCCGCCGGAAGCATCAGCACTGTTCCCAACATTTAGGATGTTAGATTGTTAGTTAGATTTATTTCAAACCTTCAGAACACAATTTCACAAAAGATTAGACAAATACAGGCTTGAAAAGGGGTTGGATGAAGCAGAGGCTGGTTTGTTCCCAACCCTCCCTCACAAAGCTACACAATAATACACAGAAAACTATGCAATTAATTACAATATCAATACAAATTTGATACTGAGCAGTACATACCATGCCCTACCACGGGGTATAGACACACAAGACACACACACACTCACACACACACACACACACACACCAGCCCAAACACTCTCTGACCCTACCCCTCTCTCCCATCCCCTGCTCTGTGCTGAGGGCATCACTGTCTCTCCTCCATGTACTTCTTCAACACTTAAGACTTCATTTTTAAACAGTTTTTTAAAAATGTAACAGGTTTTTTTTCATCCGCTAAATCGTCCCAGAGAGAAACTCCTCGCACTGAGACACACATAGATTTTAATGTAGTTCTAGATTTAGGTACATATAGTTTTTTGCTTCCTCTTCGTCTGTGACTATGGAGAGCATCCGTGTCGTGGAATAGGTCGTGTGCATGAGGAGCACATTTATAACACTTTGACCTCTCCACAGGAATGTTTCGACAGTAAGCCTCGCATCATCAGCAAACGCAGCAAAGAGAATCTGTCCGTCTGCTCCAACCTCACCGCCCGACACCCCTTCGACGATAACAAGTACGAAGTGACTTTTGATCATCTGGTTACACAGTATAATATCTATCTTATATTATATGTAAGCACGCAACTTCCAACAAACATTTCCATAATTTTTCTTTTCATTATTTCTGTTTTTTTATTTTTTTTTTATTTAAATGTTTTAAAGAGTAAAACACACAACGGGGCATTGTTCATGTACAGATAGACAAACGTATGAATTACTTATAACTACATAAACATGCAATTGGAGAAACTGTAGCGTAGCCTCTTTTTATCATTCTGTCCAGGGTTTTTCAAAGTGTCTCTTGAGTCGCAGTGAAAAAGTCAAGAATAAATCTCTCCGATGACATCTAAGCAGTGGTCCTCACGTGGCGGGTCACCTTTAAGCCAGTTATTCGTGATTGCTTTCCTGGTTGCAACTAGGATTATTTTAATGGTCCTCCTTGTCTCTTTTTCCAAATTCAAATTCCAGACTTTTTACAGACATTTTTAAAACTGATATTTTTTTTCCCAAGACCTCATTGACTGCCATTGACGTATTTATCTAATACTGGTGATTTTTGTCAATCCTCCCCCTTGTTTGACAGGAGATTACAGAAGAACAAAACTAGCTAGAAACAAACTTATTTTTTCTGATGAAAGAAGACAATCCAATCTTTCAGAATCTGGTTTCATATTTCACATAGTCACAGCACACAATATTCTGTGGGTCTTGAAAGTCAGTGAAATCATCAAAAACGGCTGGCAGTCAATGAGTTAAAACCGAAAAGTCCATGATATCAAAAACACGCAACGACTCATTTCTGTTGCCCTCTTGGCTAGCTACAGTGTGTGTACAGACCTCAGCAGTGACATCACGAACAGGTGCCAGGCTAATCTAAGCTATCGTTGATTGGATATCATTCATTCAGGCTAATACAGAACGTGCAGTTAGTAAAATTATAGTTTTATAACCTACCTTCCTATTTCTCATTTCACATTGCCTTTGAGCATAAAGTAAAATTCTACCATACATTTTTTTCCCATACTTTATTTAGACTTTCACACAAATTCAAGACATTTCAAGGTCTGGAAAACGGTGTTTAAAAATTCCATTCTTAATAAGACTTTCAAGACTTGCACAAGCACCCTGTGTCTCTGATGTCCTGAGGCAAAAGGCCGAGCAAAAAGATCTTAGTCTTTTGGAAAAACATAAATGTAGGTCAAAATGGAGTCCACCGCTAAAAGCACACTCTCCACATTTCTGAAAAAACCCTGAACTCTAATGGTTTAAAGTACGGGTTGTTAAGTTAATCACTTCATTGGAGCAAATTCATTACTTTTGGAAATGTTCCATGACTGGGAATTAATTGTCATTTAATTTAATTTGTATAATCTTCCATCATAAATATAAAACTCAGTCCAAAATGTTTTATTTATTTGTTATTGTTAAGTTGAACAGGTTCCCCGTGATATCATCAAAACTGAATAAAGATTATAAGAAATGTCAGTGTTGCATCACAAGTTACAGAGCAGTAGGAATGCGGAGCACACGGCACAAGATAAATGAACCACAGCTGTACTAATTAACTTGATTGAAGGCAAACATTTAAGCCTTTGGACCAAACTGTGTGTTCATCTTCTAGAAATCTTCGGTGTGTTATGGAGGCGCAGGGCCAGTAGGGGGCGTGGTCTCAATAGCAGTGTGCTGTGTGCATGTGGGAATGACCTGGATCTGTTGGATTGGTCTATTCTAGATTATGCTAAAATATACTTTCCTCTTTTAAGTTCCCGATGAAGAGCCAACCTTCAATTTGATAACATTTAAAATAATATAGCTAGTGTTCACTTATCTTGCTCCTTATTCCTGATTTTCTATAACTTGTGATGCAAAACTGAAATTTCCCTGCTATTGGATGAACAAAAGATCTCTTAATCCTAATCTTAAACTTTGAAGATTCCCAGATTTTTTCAACCTGCCCTCGATCTCGTGTGTGATTCCAAACTAATATTTGCTTTGAGTTCTGTGGTGACTGACGTAGAGCGCATTAACGTGGACCCTGGTTGTCGTGCCTCAGGTGCCTGGTGCACGTGGTGCGGTCGGCCAACGTGCGCTACAGCAAAGTGCGGCCGCTGCACCCGCTCTGCCAGTTCGACGTGTGCCGCCACGAGGTCCGCTACGGCTGCCAGAGGGAGGACTCCTGCTCCTTCGCTCACTCCGTCATTGAGCTCAAGTGCTGGGTTCTTCAGCAAGACACCGGTGGGTGAAGGGCTCGGTCTGGAGTTCACCGGAGCAGACCTGAGATTCTTTTGTTTTTATTCTCTCTCTAGGGATCACTCACGAAGAGATGGTCCAGGAGTCGAAGCGGCACTGGCAAAGGCTGGAGCAGAACGCGCAGAAGCAACAGAAGGTGAGGCAGTTTATAGAAACGCCACAACAGTGAAGAATCATGGAAGATAAATAGATATTTTAAAGCTGGACTAACTCACACTTTGTGACTTTGAAGCGCTGGCCTCATTCTTTCTGCTCATCCCCCCGCACTCACGAAGCTTTGGCCCCCCCGCTACCCCCTCCCACTCATACCCGTGCTCGTATGTGTAGATTTGTGTGCTGTTGTTTTACGGAGCGGGATCATGGATCTATAATATGTGGATACGTCTCTTGTTTTGGCCCAAAAACAAATTAAAATGTTGCAGGTATTTTCTGTTCCTGATTTGATTGCATGCCACAGTGCTAAAGTCTCGTCAGCCTCTCTTCCCACGTGCCTCACTTCCGGTCCTTCAAACACTTGGCCTCGCTCCGTTCTTGTAGGGACTTCCTTATAGATGTCTGTTTTGCTGAGTAAGCAGTAACCAGTAACAAAGATACTGGAAGTTTGAGGTTCGCCTCCGTCATGATGCTTGTTCACCTCCGTTGTCTGTGCACTAACGAGAGATCTGAAGATTTTCTCAAGTAGGTGGGGGACAGTGGTCACAATCTGGTCCCGAAATAAATTCTCTTTAGCGTTGCGCAAAAGCTCGATCTAAAATAAAATGAACTCCAGTACAAACCTACGCTACTTATTCTTCAAAAGTATGTAAATACCAATGCACTGCATGGATATGGATTGAATTTTCCTTTATGAATACAAAAATAAAGTGAGCTAGTCCAGCTTTAATGGTCACTGTTGGAGAAATGCAGATGTCGATCAGCAGAAACTCATCCATCCACACAAACAAACAAATATATAATTCTAAAAGTTGCGAATAATGGTCATAAAGTGGTCCCAGCAGCAGAAGTGGTGATGAGTTGCTTCTTATCCTCTGCTCCGAACCAAACAGACACTGCTTACATCAACTATTCAGAGTGAAATTTTGAATGCTTTATTAGCATTTGTTTTAACCCTTTAAGCGCCAGAGGTTTTTTTCCAAAACGCTCAATTTTGACATCTTAACTTCAAAAGGCTATAACTTAAAAGTAATAAGAGATAAAGGCTTTCTGTAAATTAGAAAAATATCAAGGATGGTCCAAAGTTTATGGAGAGAATAAATCCCCCCCATCTAATTGGATTTTAGAATCTTCATACAATATTTGTATTTTTCTAACTGACAGACATATATTGTTCACTAATACATGAACACACACAGAACACACACTGTAACATTGTAAATGTTCATGAAAATAGTAAAAAATATAAAACATGGTGCTGCTGTGAGCAGTCTGCCCAGACGCGCGCCTCCAGGTGAAGCGCGTCACCGCGACCCTCCTGCTGCTGCTGTTTCCCCCGCTCTCTCTCATCTCCCCTGCTCTCTCTCTCGTCTAACACACACAAGACAAGGCTTCTCAAACACGTTACTGCCCCGGTGATTACGGGAGGCTTGAAAATAAATATGTGGGAAGCACTTTTAGCGGAGACTTTGGCGGAAACTTCAGTGGAGGCGGGAGGTCGCGGCGCGGCGCCCCGACGCGAGTTCCAGGCTGGTTCTCCGCAAATCTAACCTGTCTCCGAACCTCCCAATGACTTGGCCTTACTCTGAGAAACACTGTTCTCACTGCAGACCCTGTGCAAAGTGTCTAAAGTTAGTGTTTGGTGCGGTACAACACTCGCAGGCTGCCCCCGCAGCTGCATTCGCTTCACTATGATTTCCGCACTAGTTTAACGCGGTCTTGCTCGAATATTTTGTATGAGAGCATGACGTGTTTTGGCCACGGAGGTAGTCTGACATGTCTGCCAACTAGTGGCAGGGAGTATGAATGAATTTTGACACTCAGCTGGACACACTCGGCCATTTTAAACGGTACCGCAGCTTGTCGACTTAAGTCGACCGTGGCGCCTAGAGGGTTAAAATAAAAATGAGTGGATCTCAGCGTGATTAGTTTGTTTGGGACCATCCTTTCTGCTCTGACTAGTGATCGGTGTAAAACCATGATCACTGTACTGCAGCAATGCTAACAGATAATAAAAAAGAAAAGTAATGATTGTCAGACGTATAACAACAAAAGTTTGAGAGCTGCTTACAACTTGCTGCCGTTTCCAGCACATTCAAAAAAACAAAAATAACCATTATCTTTTCCGGCAGCCGATGCATTATCACGCGAGCAGCAGTCTGCCCCCTGCTGGAGTGGGGGCCATGGGCAGCTGCAGCGGGGGCCTGGATGGTGTGGGCCCCGTCGGGAGCCTGGGGGGAGCCTCCAGGGGGCGCCCTCTCAACCTAAAGATGAAGTTTGTTTGCGGCCAGTGCTGGAGAGAAGGCCAGGTCAACGAGCCGGACAAGAACCTCAAGTACTGCACCGCTAAAGCCCGGCACAGGTGACATGAGACAATGCTTTCTTCTGGTCACGCTTTAGTTTAGTCCTAATTTATTTTACTGCTAATTCAGTTCTAATTGGTGTATTATTATTGGTTAATTAGCTGTTAATTGGTATTTATTAAGCACTTTCTAGTCTTCATTCTACATGGCCTTATTCAGCATCTAATTAACTACTCTCTGGGACTCTGAGGAGCACAGGGACTGGCCTCCTGCTCAGGCTGTTTAAATCTGGAACAGTCTTGAGAGACAGACTTCTTCTCTGATATTGTTCACATCCAGGTTAAAAACAGTAGGATTTGATCTTTACTCTTTAAGTTGCAATATGTAAGATTTTTATGTCAAGTCATCATTAAAGGGCCCTAATCTGTCATAATGATAAATCATGCTCTTTTCCAAAACATTTTTAACTGATAACAGTTGTTTAGAGCTATTTTAATAATGAAATTAGTTTTACAGCCCCTAAATCTTGTTATTGTTTTCATTTCGATGTCCCGTCCACCATTTAACCAATCAGAAAGTTGCAGTAAAGTATTATGTGGCCACAGAACTGAAAAAGGTCTCGTTATGATTCTCAAATCATTAACAACAAATCCAGGATTTGAAAAAAGGTGTTGGTTATAGATTTTTTGTTGTGGTCCCAGCTGGATTCATCTCCATATCTGGCAACCTGAGTCAGGGAGAGTGGGAGAGGCTGCAGTACCACTTTAGGCCACATTTTTACATACTTCTCCTTTAAATGTACTGTTTTTTTTTAAATTATTGATTTTAATTCCTTGTATGCTCGTTTCCATCTTGTTTTGTTCAGCACTTTGAGTCGTGTATGAACTGTGAAATACAAACAAACTTGCCTTTCCTTAGTAACTGACGCTTTCCCATGCGGGTTAGGGCTAGCAAACACTAATTACTCTCTCTTCTTAAACGCGGCTGTTGCTAAGTTCCCTGTGTGTATTATAATAGCTGGACCAAGGAGCGGCGGGTTTTGTTGGTGAAATCCTTCGAGAAGAAAAAGTGGGTGGTGGTTCGGCCCCTGCCTTTTTCCCGCACGTATCCGCAGCAGTACGACGTGAGTGCCTCCTCCAGCCGTCACATGTTCGTGGCAGCTGACTTGGCTTCAAACCACACACTCATTCCCCCCCTTGAGCTTTCCTGATACCTAAATGTTTTTGAGATATCTGCTATTGTTCCCAAACTCTCCCCATCGGGACAATATGCTAGTATGGTGGTTTATGGATGATTTTGAATGTCAGAATGAGACTTATGAAACCACATGTGCTATTCCCACTTGGTATCAGACCCTCACGCTGCGAACATGTAAACATACAACTATATATTACTGCACTAGAATATACAGTATGTTCATTTAATTTGAGTTATTTTTGTATAGCCCTCAATCACAACAGTATTTATCTCCGATCAGAGAATCAAACCCTTGGCATGTATTTTTCCTCTTGCTTCTTTAATATGCTAAAGTTAGAGATTTTATTGTTTTTTATTATAGTTATTCATGTATCTTGTGCTGTGTGCTCCTCATTCCTACCGTTCTGTAACTGGTGTTGCAACACTGACATTTCCCCCACTGTGGAATGAAATAAATGGTCTCTTAATCTTAATTCTTCTCACTCTATGCAAGGATCCAAAAAACAAAAATGATTCACAACAAATATTCAATCTGCGAGTGGTCTGTTTCCATCTAAACATCAGAAAAACCTGCCGGAGAGAAATATCTAAACCCATGTTCAACAAAAGTGTTATTTATTCAAAGAACTTCCATGATTATTAACAAAAAAAGTAAATGGGCAAATGCAAAGGATGATCTGTAAACAAACACACACATAAACATTGTATATCTTATTGTTTTTATCTTTAACTTGAGCCAATTCCATTAAGAACCTGATATTCTCAGATTCAGTTAAGATTAAAGTTTTTATCAGAGGGACTGTTGCTTTGTGAATTGAGTGGCAGCTCTGATTGTTCCCCCCCCAACCCAGAAATGGTTAATAAAGGGATGAAAAAAATGAACGAATGAACGAAATGTCAGTGTTGCAGTAGGAATGAGGAGCACACAGCACAAGACAAATGAACAATAATTTTATACAATGGAATAACATCTGTAGCTTTAGCATCATAAAGTATAAAATCTCTAACGTTAGTCTAATAAAGAAGCAAGTTTATAATCTCTAGCTTTAGCATAATAAAATATGTGTTTACTCCTGGACCATGAGTCTGCAATAAAAGTTGTTGATGGTGATGATGATAAAAGGAGCAAATAGAGGCATGTAAAAAATCTCTAACTTGTTCATAATAAAGAAGCAAGTCTAAAATCTCTAGCTTTAGCCTAATATATAAATCTGCCATAGAGCCCATATCGGCTGATCTCTCGTTGTCTTTGTGAAACCGTCGGTGGTGAAAGTACCGCCTCGGTCTGCGTGTGTTCTTGTGGTAACATTGTTGTGTTTTTGTTAGATGTGTGTCCATGTGATGAAGCAGAAGAAGTGCCACTACATTGGAAACTGCTCGTTCGCCCACAGTCTTGAAGAGCGTGACGTCTGGACCTACATGAAGAACAACAACTGTAAGTGCCTCTCTCCTTCTCCTCGTGCTAAACTGCAGGCACTTCTGCTGATTCCTGATGACTCCTGATTGCTCTGATTGCACAGCGGGCACCGGATCCATCTGAACACATCCAAAACATGTGAACTTTGATTTTAGTCGTAACAGTTCTCACATGTCTGTTGTTTTTGATTACTCCCAGATTGTAGAGGAGTGAAAGTTTCTGGGTTTAAGTCTATTGATCTGAAATGGTACAAAAGCACTAATCAGGTTGTTAAGAAAGCCTGTCAGCGTCTTTTCTTTCTGCGGAAATGTAAAGTATTTTCTAAATACTTTGCTTGTTGGTTCTGGGACTTTGTGGGTTTGTAAAATCACAGCATAAGAAAGGAGAACTCTAACCAGGTTCTCTGCTCTGAAAGAGGACTGTGATACCAATTAGACAAACAGCAAGGGTGACCGGACCGGGAAGGGGAGACCGGACCGGGAGGGGGGGACCGGACCGGGAGGGGGGGACCGGACCGGGAGCGGGGGACCGGACCGGGAGCGGGGGACCGGACCGGGGGGACCTGCCTGTTCTGGAGGTTCTTTATGTATCCAGACTCTGAGCTCTGAGAATTATCAATGACTCTTCTGGCCCCTGGGAAAGCCATGTTCCAGCTTCTGCCCTCTGGCAGAAGATATTGTTCATTGAGATGCAGGACATCTTGTTTTTCCCAACAGCTTCTTTCCACACGTTTTTATCAGTTTTACCCTTGTGCTTTATAACTGTTTTCACTCTGACAGTTTTCTTTAGTTTTTTTGCTTGTTTTATTCCTGTACTTGTCTGGTGCGCACTGGGGACTTTTGCACATGTATTCCAATGTGGTTTTACTGCAAATGACAAATAATATGTATGTGACTGGAGCAAAGGGCGTTTGAGTAACTGTGCGTCTCCCATTGTGCAGTGCGAGACATGCAGCAGATGTATGAACTCTGGCTCCAGCTGACCAATCAGAGCCGCCGCACCGAGCCCTCCGCTGTGAGCCCGCCCCCAGAGGACAAACAGGTCACAATAACGGCAGACTACAGCGAGGGCATGGTAAGGACGTCTGATCAACCTTCATCATAGGCGGAGCCCGGAGCCGCTGCTAACGTCTGGGATGTTTGTGACCGTGCAGGCCGGCAGGAGAATGTCTGACGGGGACGACCTCTGAATGTTCGCGCTGCAGTTGAAAAGGCACATGTGTGTGGGAGCAGCTGCCACACGTGAGACGCCTGACGTTTTGGTTAAGGAACACGTTCACACCACAGGACATAAATCAAAAGTCACTGCCTGCATAAGCGGGGGCTATTCTGAGAACATGTACCGTGACCATGTGTCATTCCCTCAGCTTTATTATGGTACAGTCTGGATGCAAAGTTCACATCAGGACCCTGCAAATCATTACTTTTGCCAATTCTCAAGGTCAAATTGGAGCAACTAGACTAGATTGTCATTAACCGTGCTTTGAGATCATGTGAAAGCTCAAACTGTCACTCTTAAAGCCTCTGTCTGGGACCGAAACAACCAATTTCTCAGATCTAGTTTGTAAAGAATTCCATTTCAAAATTAAATTCAAATTAGTAAAATTAATTGTTGCCGATTATGTATCCATGTACGCCTTAATGAAATATACAATTATAAGTCACCTCCTCCTGACGCCACTAGGGGTTGGAAAGTGCTTGCAATATTTGGGCCATAATTCAATGTTATTGCGATTCTTAACATATCGCGATACAGACAGTATTGTGATTCAGTTCTATGATGTATTGCAATTTGATGTACAAAAACGTGAGAGGGTAATGCAAAAACTCGTTACAGGACAAGACGTAATTACTCACCTAATGGGCGACCTCTCACATGAACGGTGAGAAAACAGTGGAACATATAATTATTGCGATACTTTCAATAGAATCCATTTCTTTCCCCCGCCACAAGAAGCCGCTGCGTTCAACCTCGTCCGTCACTGTCATGAATGTACTGCAGCTGCACAGAAACCGGAGGTTGGTTTTGACGAGTTGTGGCAGGACAGAAAGAGCCTTAAGCAGATCTCTAATGACTGAGCGCACCTCCATCAGGCCTTGGTGTCTGTGGCCCCGAGGCTGCTCCGTGGCTGCTCCGTGTCTCCGCGCTGGCCGTGGTCCAAGTTCACACTAACCAATGTGACTGATGCGTAAGCCCTCTGCACTCGCACTGGACACACTCGATGGATATAACAATCTTTTTTTTATTTTGTTGATGAATAACTGCTCTTTTATTCCTTTATATGAACTTAGAATCAAAATAACTTCCAGCCGATAGTTTTCCTGTGCGGAGTTCTATTTTCTACCATATTGGTGGGCATTTCTGAATGTTATGACGGGCCTTTCCACGAGGCGTTCAGTCTTTATAAAGCATTCTTGAGGCTAACAACAGAATGCAAGTTCCCAGGACACTCGCGAAAACCAGAGTGGGGGAAAAAAAAAAAACATGGTTCACTCTGTCCTCCGATCACAGAACACACTCTGAACCGCACCGATCGGATTCAGAAAGTGATCGCAAACGTGTACAGTGTGCAAAGGAAGTCTTAAAAAACAAAAGTCTAAAAATCTCCGGTGTGCTCAAAGTGTTGGTGAATAATAATGTGAGTGTTTGAATGTGAGAGAAAGCCCAGTGCAGCTCCTGAAGCCTCCACACTGACCTCTCCTCTCCTTGTGGACTGTAAACTACTGCTGTGGAAGAACCTGTTTTTGCAGAAAGGAATCCACACTTCATCTTGTGCCTGTTCAAACCCAAACACACAGGAGGTGGGCGTCGACCCTCATCTCGTCTTTAGAAGCTTAAATCAGATAGTTATACTCTAAAAAATATATTACACACATTTATATGATACCTATTTACATTTTATGGCATACTAATAATAATCGATAACTTAGCAATTAAGCTTAATAAATATATAACCAGAGAAGCTGTATTGATTACATATAGGACACTGAGCTATAATGCTATAAGTAATGTATTGCTGAACTAGGTGACTATAGGTTTAAGATATCTTCTCATTTTGTATTTTTTCTGTCTGTGTGGGTTGTTCCAGACAAGGTTTCACTGCGAACATTAAAAACAAAAAGTACTTCGGAATGGGTAAGAACTATGCATTTGTTCACGATTACACTTTTTTTTTTCTACAATAGATTATTCGTATTGCAAATGAATTGGACCCATTCTTTTTTTTCTTTCAAGACATTGGAGAAAAACTGTTGAATTTTCTCCGTGGTCCCAGTGCGGGTGGACCAGCCTTGTCTGGAGCAGCCCGGGTGTTCCTTTTGAGGGATTGTATTACTCATAGTATAATGATAAATCTATAATGATTGCTATCTATTGACCATTTCTATTTCTCTTCTATAAACTATCTATATAAATATATGATGTATGTTTATTGCTATGTATAACTCATTCTTTATATATGTAGCCATGTATGATATGATATCTAATTCTTAAATATGTCTCTGTATGCAGCGTTTGGAAGCAGCGACTAAAGCGGCGTTCGTTTTTTTTTCTTTTTAGGGTTAAACCAAATCATTAAAAAAAGGCCTTACATTTGATGAAGCCAAATTTAAGGATCTTAGAGCTTTAAATATTAGGGAAAAATGGATTGCGTTTGGGATTTTGTGGCTTTACGTCTTGCTCTGTTAAAATTAGTTTGAGAAAGCCAAAATTTCGAAAGTAAATTACTTAGCAAAGTTTTGTCTCCTTCTCAAACCTCGTTCCCGTTACGCAAAACACACCATTTTTTGGTCAAAAACTCTGGACGCCCTTTTCTTACACACCTTTCTTGGCCTTCAACCCGTCTTGCGATCTAAACCTTTTGCTGAGGCTGATCAGTGGGAACACTAAAACCCAAACTGTTTTATAGCCCATTTCTTTATATTTGGCTCGGGTGAAGGTTATAAAACTACCCACAAGTCCTAGGAAGAAGAATAGTTTGCATAATGACAGCGTTATGAGCCGAGGAGCCGTGTTTGGGTGAGTGAAGCTCTTAACGTCAGGGTTTGGGCTGTTTATAAAGTTGTAGATGATAAACTACAACGATAAAGTAGTCCGTTCTAATGCGATTCCCTCTGGTCCCGGGTGCACTGCAACTCTAGTTTATTATTATCAAGATTTTTTTTTTTTTTTGACACGTTCCTGACACAGGTCCAAACAACACACCTGCCCCACCCACCCGTCCCTCAACACGTGCAGAAAAACGGTGACACAAAAGCCTGTTTGTGTCAATGTTGGTTCATAAAGAAATCGCCACACATGGTTTGGTCCAAAGCTAAATAAATACACTTGTAAGAAGGCTGACCATGTGTTGCTATGACAATGAAGGGGGCGGGTTTTCATTCCAACCAAACCAAGCAGGAGCACCCTAGACTCCGCCCATTTTCTCAAGTCTCCAGGTTTAGACTGGACTTGAATAGGCGAATACCTCTGCATTACACCATTTAAAAATGTATTCTTGAATTCGACCAAAGCCGGAGGTATACCCCCATTTTTTTCCCCAAACTCCTCAAAACGCAAACCGCCGCAGCGCTGCTTTGATGTACATTTTCTTTAATGATAAAATCTGTCTGGGGAAACGCCTGCATACAGACTCCTCTATACTCCCATATAGCGCCTTATTCAATATATCCCACCTATAAGATAATACCCTATTGTATAACCCTGCTTACTATATACAGTATATGATATCTGATACCGATTATAAAACTAGACCACCACATAAGCTTATTTAGATATGAAATGAATAGTACTGTGGCTGTAAACGTTTGTTGTGGTCATCTGTCCCCAGCTACCGGTTTAATTTTGTGTCAAACTGTCACAGAACTTTTTGATGTATTTTGGCCTCGTCCCAAAGATGCTTCCTCCTCAGGTCTTCTCACCTTCTCCTCGCCACACACGAGATCTGCACGATTCCAGAGAAATATCAAATCCAGGAATAAGGAGCAGTTTTGTTTGTTTTTTTTTAAATTGAGGGGAAATTAGAATCCTTTCTTTTCCATTTTTGATAGTAATTTGGTATAAAAGTTATCGCTAAACCTCATTATACTGGACTTACCTTATACGCTAGCAGATACAACTGTCACGATGCTTTAAAATTGGGAGAATACTGCATTTTATGGGCTCTAATTCACCAATTTTTTCTAATTTTCACTTTGCAGTGATGGTGGTATTTCTGTATTTTGACAGTATTCAATAATGTCATCGAAATTATTACTGCCTTTTGCGATATCCCAATTATGGGAACTGTTGCAATATTGATCATAATTATCCCAATTATGGGAACTGTTGCAATATTGATCATAATTAATCGCAAAGCCTTACCCTACTTTCCCACTATAAGGCGCACCTGTATACAAGCCGCACAACTTAGATTTGAAGAGAAAATCCGTTTTGTCCAGATATAGGCTGCACCCGAGTATAAGCCCCAGGTTTTTGTGTTGTAATGAAGCAGAGGCGACTGTTTTAACTGGACGCAACATGATTTAATTACAAGTTTAATGGCTTTGTTAGCTTCCATGACTCATTCAGCGTTAGCTCACATGACTCATTCACTGTTGGCTCCCATGGCTCATTCATCTAAACCTGTTTTGATCATAGATAATTCAATGAAATTCAACTTTATTACAGACTCTAGGTCCAATTTAAAGTATCCAATAGCTGCTAAACTTGGATTCAAAATAATCCATAATCTAAGTCCATAAACTTTGCTCTGACAACAGCTCAACTCTAAAAATAAAAATACATATATTAGCCGCATCGCTGTATAAGCCGCAGGGATCCAATAACTAGAAAAGAAAAGCGGTTTATTGTCTGGAAAGTACGGTAAATATTATTTACCAATTGGATTCTAACTGGTTTATTTGGAAAAGTGGGTCCCCCTGTAGAGAAGAGGAGGAGGAGTTTTTGGGACGATACTTTGCGACTCGATGTGTCCCGAGTCTTCACTTGAATCTTGTTTGTTTGAAACAGTTTCCCGTCAAGACGCCAAGTTGTGTTCTCAATGTTTTACGTCTCCAAGAAGGATATTAAGGATCTCTTTTGTATGTCCAACTGCAAGTGGTTTGGTTTTTCTTTTTCTGCTTCTTTTGATGGACCATGATCACACAAATGGACCAAATCTCTAAGTTTAATAAAGAGATTGTTTCAGCA